TATTACAATGAATAAACATATAATGTCTAATTAAGATTACACATGCCGGTAAGGTACTTTTCAAGACTAAAAAACATCACTTTAAACTGTTTGTGACATATTAACGAAAAACGCTTTTTGTGTTGCGGACATATCAGTTTTGGAATTATAGACCCATTTGAATAAACCAAAAGTTACCAAACAAAAAAAAAATAAAATTTGTTCCATACATATTGTTAAATTGGAGCAAATAGTTTTAGCAGTATATAACATATTGATGTGGATCTCGGGTCAACATGAGATCTTGAATGGTTTTAATTTACTGCTACATATCTCGGACTGAAGTGTCTTACTGACAAAATAAGTCAATATCTTTAATATGTCTATACTACGAAAACTTCTCAAGTTTTTTTTTAAATTATTATTTTTAGATTAGCGAATCAATCGTTTAGAAATGGCTTGGTTGGATCTGCGCAAAGAAAAAGTTAAATTTGTCGGTAGGGCTTGATAAGACAATTAATAGGTAATTAACAAGTATTTTCACTTAATATCAAATATTAAAGTTAAAAATATTTCTATTTAGTATTTCTGAAAGATTATAGAGAAAAAACTTTTTATGATCATAGTTAGTTAGTTAGTTGTGGTGGAGGGAGGACGAATCCTTCCCAATTAGATAAAAGAAAAAGGAAACCCGTTTTGAATCCACAAAAAACCTCGTAATAGTGGGTAGTAGATAGAGGGTCAACCTAGAACCAGCCAGAGGCATTAACAAAGGTAAGAATCTGGCTAATGCTAATGCTGGAGATATCGCTAAGTGAGTTGAAGAAGCGGGCCTCCAGAAGCCTAGTTCTAGCCAGACCTGGACAAAAACAGATCAGGTGTTCTGGTGTCATTTCTTCAAGAGCTGGTAGACACGCACTGCAAGAGGTACCACAGGGAAGGCCGAGTCTAGCTTCATGTCGTCCTTTGGACCAGTGCCCCGTAAACACAGATATTAGCCTAGATACCTCAGATTTGTTTCTACAAATTAAGTCAGAGGTTCTACATTTGGAATAGATGGAATAGATAGCCCTTGACCTGGCTGCTGAGGCAGTAAGGGTCCACTCACTATTTGCCTGTCGCAAAAAATGGTCATAAATCAGCCTACGCGTGTAGCTGACAAGGGTAGAGATCGAAATAGGACTATCCGTAGAAGAAGCGCCTAGTTTAGCAAGATCGTCAGCGCACTCATTTCCTACAATATTAGAATGCTCGGGAACCCAGACTAGAGTAACCTTGGGCCTCTCACTTAGTTCACTGATAAATTCCTTACATTCTTCTACTAATCTCGATGACAAACTGCCTGCTGATATAGCTTTAATAGCTGCCTGGCTGTCAGTTAGAATATAGACCTCTTTTCCGTGAAGGCCCATATTTAAAGCAAGAACACTTGCCCTAAGGATGGCAAAAACTTCAGCCTGAATGGATGATCATTTTTTATAAATGAATCAGTATTATGCTATGTATACCATCGATACATTAGCACAATATTACTAAGTATACATTATTTTTAGCTATTTATATATAGAAGAAGGCTACTTCAAAATGTCTTTTATTTTTGTATAGTTTAATCCAGAATTTCTTAAACAATGTTCCGAATAGCACTTGGTGTTCCATAATACAACTCTCAGCCCTCCGCGAAATTATTGAATTATTTTGTGTTAAATTATGGTTATCACGTTATCATGCAATAAAAAATGCAATAATATATACTCAGGTGTTATTAAAATATTTATACCAAAAATAAGTTCAAGAAAGAAAAAAATTCTTAGTCGTTTATAAAAAAAACGAATGCAATTCCAAATTTTTTAACTGATTGAACAGACTTCCACGACTAAAAAACCCTTGATCTTCTTATTAATATATATGAAATTGCGAGAATTTTTTGGCAATAATTTTGAATGAAGATATTTTCTTTTAATTAATTTTAATATTCACTTAAGACTTTTGAACTCCTAGATATATACATTATTATTGAGACATATTGAAATAATGGATTTTATTAAAGATACTTGAATATGTAAATATGACCACATATTCTCTTTCTCTTATAATTATATGGAAATATAATATATGGAAATTAGAAACAAAAAAAATTGCTATACCTAAGTTAAAAATGTTTCAATAAACTAGAATTTTAAATAAATATGATTCATAGGCATCCTAATTAGCGGATTATACGGATTGATAAGAGCAACTAATCAGAGAATTAAAACGCGCAAATATATTTATATCAGATATACATATATAACTATAAGTATACCCAACGCAACGCAAAGGAAAAAAATGACATGAGTAAGCTAAGTGAAATATTTATGAACTAACATATAACTCTTATATATCTTTATTGTTAGGTATTCATAAACTAAAAATATTTATTAATAGAATACTAACAGGGTACGAATACTTTAGTACGTGACAAATTATAAAAACCACAATGGAATATAGATTGGATTGTATGCAAAACGTAACATTTATATAAAAATATTATTTGAATGGAACTCTATTTTTTGCGCTAAATATTAAATATATATGTATAGAATATTGATCTATAAACTTTTCAATAAGTGTTAATATTATAAGCTGAGATATTAACATTAACGTGTTAGATATGAAGGATGGTTTTTCAATATGTTAATACAAATAGTAAGAACTAGAGAGTATAATCTCTATACGGAATTGCAGATGTTATAATTAATTATGGAATGAACTGAAAAAATATGCAATAAGTAGATAATAGTATTAATAATAACTAATACATAAAAGAAAACAAACTCTTATATAAAAATTATAGAACATTTCTTTGACAGAGATTCTAACACATACTAGTAAAAAGATTAGTTTGATTATATATAAAAGGTATTAAATAATTAGATGTTTTTTTTAATTGATTGATGAATATTTCTTTTTCTAAATAAAACAAAGAACATTAATCAAATGAAATCAAGCAATTAGACGTAAACGAAATTTTATACTACTAGTAAAAATATCCCGATAACGTTAATAAAATACTAGAGGTACATGGTTTCGAAATTCATCAGTAGTTTAACGAATAAATGAGAGCTAAGCTGTCTTTAAGAATTAACCGAGTTCTTAACAAAGAAATATTAAAGAAACAAATACGAATAAATGGTGTTTTTTTGTCCAATCAATTTCCAGTGAAAATGAAAAAATAAAATTGATTTGAACGGATTGGAACTTCTAAAATTTTGTTATAAATTCCATAATGAAGTAAAGACTGGGATATAATCTGAAATAATTTGGTTAAGTTTAATCTATACTGAAAGCAGCTGTAGAATATTTTGTCACATATGATTTTATTTATAAATTTTAGATACTAAACGAAAAATACTAAACGAATTAGTTTGCATGGTTTAAAGTTCCGATTAGAGAAAATGATCTTATCTACATATATACATCGCTCTTATATGTATAGTTTTCCTATATTTCTTATAGTATGTTTTCATAGGCCTCATTAGAACAGTTAACTTACTTACGATTGCTTGAATTCCTTGAATCTCAAGTAAGTTAAATGTAATATTAAGTGTATTTTCTCAAAAGGGCTGAATATATCCTCTTATTTTAGGCTTCCAGATAGATAACTATAGTGTTTTTGAGGCAGAAGTCATTGCTTTAAGGAAAGCTATAGCTTGTCTAGAAGTAGTTGATATACTTGATAGGAATATTAAGAGGACTTACAGAAAAATATTGCTGTGTTCCGATCCATTTAGTCGTTTCGATCAGGAGTAGGTATAAGTTATATGTTTACTTCACTATTAAAAACATCAAAGTTTTGATATATCTTCTTTTAATAGCAATATAAATTGCTTCAAAAGAATAGCAAAAAAAATAATTTTGCACTGTTTCTTCCGATTAGAGATATTTATTTTATTATTGCCTTTAATCATTACTATTATTATTAATGTTACATATTAGATCTATCGTACTAACCTGGAAGAAAGGCTGTTAATATTATCTATCTGTTTTTAAATCATATTGTGTAACTTGCATTCCAGACCGCTTTTGGTTCAATGAAAGTCAAATAAAGACAGTGTGCTCCTTTCTGGCGTTTGGGGAATGAAAAATAATACTAGAAACTTTGGATTCAATGACGGCCATATTAATACATTGGGTTTATCTTTTGACGTAATGTGAAGAATGTAAACAAAATTTAAAAAATCAAATTGAAAGGAATTATCTATTTCTGCACACTATTTAATGGTGATTAAAAGACCATTTTAGTCAGGTCTACGTTTTATTCAAGACTACGCAATTTGATGTGTTAATCAAACTTAAAATTTTTACTGCAAAATTTGGTCATTGATATTTTAAGCATACGATCCGAAAAAAAATGGAGGAATCAGTTGTAAATTTATTTTTGAGAAAGGTGTATTAAGATAACATTACTTTTGATGTTAATAGATTTATGTTTGCAATAAATAAATTTGTTTATATTAATTTTATAATTTTCACAGCAAAGTAAGAAAACTCCTACGGCTTTGGGTCAGTTGGTTAAGGTACGCTGATTCTGAGCTTCAAATTTGGTAGGACACGAGTTTGATTCGTGGTATTTGCAGTCTCAACAAATTATTTTTAAATAATTAAATATAAGAATTATTTCCAAGATCACTGACGATGGGTATTTGGTAATACTCGAAACAGCTGTATGGTAAGCCAAAAATTCAATTAATTAAAATAATATGAAAAAAAATTTTTCCGGCATTTTTTTTTGTTGTTTTTGTCACTATTGTTCGAAAAACCGTTTTATAAATTCAAAAATGATTACTTTTAAAAAATGACAATTTTACTAGTTAAAAGCTTATGGTGTTATTGCTTGATTTGGACATTAGTATAGTTAACCTTTCAGTTTTCATAATAAAAGAATTTCATTGTTTTTTTTTTTTGCGTGTACTTAATTTTGTATTAAAAAGATTCATACAAAACCATTTTTCTTGGAAGTGCTAATTCTGCATAATTCTTACCTGTTAATAAATACACTAAAAGTACAAAAACCGAATACAGCGTCCAAACATTTCTTGTGTTTTTACGATAAAACTGAAACTTGGAATGTGTTGATGACGCATTGTACACCGCGATCATCTTATTAAAAATAATAATAAATAAATTTTGAAACGAAAAGGTATATTAAAAACACTACAACTTCAGTTGCTTGAATCATGTACTTGCATAATTAATTAAACATAAACATATTGTAGCTAAAAACATTATCAACAAAGGTTTATCACAAAAACTAGATCGATTTTAATATGCACGAATATTGTGATTTGAAATTATTTGTATTGGAGGGAGGCACTACACTACACACAGTATTTATCGGCGCAACAGGAAAAATGTGTAAATATGTTTGTACACATGTGTATGCAACAAGAGTAGAGCGAGCAGCAGCTACGTTAAAATAACCTACATATTTGTGCGTGTGTGTCAGTGGTTAGAACTTTTATTTTGTTTGGGTTTTCACTAAACGCGTTTATTCATATATATAAACGCGTATATATAATAAACACTTTCGTATTATTATTTATTTAATTTTCTTTTGAAAAACTTCTTTTTTCTTAAATTTATAACTAATATTTTTATTTAACTGGTTTGGTTGACTTTTTATTGAAATTGATCATGTTACTTTTCACGGTTTATAAATTTATACTTGTTTTCAGTTTTGTTTCATTCACACTAAAGCCGTACCAATGCTGCCGTTTCACCGATGTTACACATACTAACGAAAAACGTTAAGATACTTTCGCGACTTTATTTTACCTGTTTCAACGTTTACGGCCAAGAAAGAACTGAAAACATTAAACTGAAAATTAAAAATTCAGCAGTTTGAAAGAGTATTGCCATATATAACAAATAATATAAATAACTGCGATTGTTAAAACTAATAAGTTAATTCAATATTATTTATTAATAACTAATTATAAAGTAGGTTATGTTAAAGTAGGTCTTGTTTTTAAAGAATTTTAGCTTTTATTTCGTCGATCATTATTTTTTAATATATTCCTGTACGTATTCCGGCAAATTAGGTTTTGCCTTCATCAGGAGAATTCCTATTAGGAAAATAATTGAAATATAATACATAAATGAAAAACAAAATTAAACAATATATTCTTCAGAAATTATTAAACTTAATTTAAAAAGTAACTGATCTTAACTGATTTTTTTAGAATATGTACATAAATATTCCGGCATATTCTGGCAAATTAGGATTTGCCTTTATCAGGAGAATTCCTAATAGCTTGAATTATAATACAAAAATGAAAAACAAAATTAAACAATATGTTGTTGACAAATTATAAAAATTATTTTAAAAAGTTTAAATGATCTTAACTGATATTCACTAATTTATTTTCCAGTATTTCCATTTTTTGAAATCAGTAAGATATATATATTTTTTAAAAAGACTAACAAGTTATAGAAAATATACTACTTGGTTGCGAATTATAACTATTGCCATGGTCTGATTTGATAAATGCTATATTCTGTTTATTGTGAAAAACAGTGTTTTTCACAAAAAAGCTTCAGAAACAGTCAACTTTGCCTCACAGGGTTAGTTCTTACCGACAAACAAGTAATGCTAGCAGCAATAGGAAAGCGACAAAAATAGATTTTCATATGAATAAGCTTGAAATAATAACAGAATATAGTCTCAAGAGTATAGCAAATACGTTTATGATGTGCAGATTGTAATTACTTTTTATAGTAAATATTAATTATTTATTTAAAAATAATTAATTCTAAAGTATTGTTATTAAAATACTCGCTAGTCTAAACCAATTGGACGCAACCAATAGAATATAGTCTCAAGAGTATAACAAATAAGTTCATAATGTGCAGATTGTAATTACTTTTTATAATAAAATTAATTAAATAATTAAAAAAACTAATTGTAAACATATATTGTTATTAAAACACTCACTAGTCTAAACCAATTGGACGTAACGTAGTAATTTATTAATTGCAAATATCAGATTAAATTTTTGAATATTGTGTTAATATGGAAATAAATAAGTTAACCTATATTTTACAAGCACGAGGGCTGTTAAAATTAAAAGAAACAATAAACTTATTGGAACCTTAATAGGAACTGCATAATTATTACATATTTACTGTAATATTTAACTATTCATTTTACTTATCTTCATGTCTTAACTTTTATCTTTATATATCTTTAAAGTTAATTAATCCGATCAATGATTTTTAATATTCGAATCCGATATCATATATTATAAGATTTAAAATACTGTCAGTCAAACCTTTCTATAACAAAGTCGTTGGTACCTGCAAAAAACTACATTATGGAGAGGAATTCGTAATAGAGATGTTTAAATATATAAAAAAATTTTTTAAATCGCTGTGTCTTCAGCGAGGTTCGCTATAGAGAAGTTTGTCTGTATAGGTGATTCATGAATACTTTTATTAAAAGTATATACCAAATGAATTGCATAGTATCGGAAGATTTATTTCTAATGAGCATTGAATAGCCATTTTTATCTATTGAAATTTTATTTATGAGGCGTACCACCTAGTAACATCTTAAAAACAACAAACTTATGTGCTTTTATATCTCTTTAAATAAATAATAACATTTTTTTATTGCACAGTTAGGTATGCTATGCAGTATAGCAAAGAAAAAAAATTCTTAAAATCGTTGATATTACATACTATAAGTGCAAAATTTTTGTATAAATTTATCAATTTAATCTTTCATAATAAATTCTACAAAATACTTGAATTTTCTTTTGAAGTGTGGCATTACACATTTAGATTTTATAAACTAACAAGAGCCCATGTAATATTATGAATATTATTAACTAAATGTTATACATAATAACACATATAGCTTAACAATTTTTTATGTGATATTTATTTTGTAACAAAATTATAAATTTCGTACTATATAATATTTTTATAATCATTGGGTATTCAATTCCTTATATAAATTAATAATATTTGTTACATCTAGCAATACTTTAAATTATTAAACTAAAGTTTGTGAAGTGCCAGAACAATTAAGTCACCTACTTATCAAATATATAAACATCTTTTACCAGTATCTCGCTATATAAAAATGATTTCTTATATATTCTTATACAATCTATAAGTTTATAACTGTCATTTTATTAAAAAATTTAATACATATACTACAGTTCATTTTATGGTAAATACAAATTAAATACACATTCATATAATTATGGGTATAAATATTATATTTTACTACATTTTATAAAAATTGAAACTATTTAGTTAATGGATTAATAACATATATCAATGATTTGTTAAGTTTTGATTTTTTTCAAAAAACATGTTATTATGCATAGATAGTTCCTTGCAAAGTGTGGAGAAGCGTCGAATAGCTGTAAAAACAAAAAATTTAATAATTGTAATATCAAATCCTTATATTATTATATACATATAATATAGTTTATTATTTAAATTATATATTAAATAAAACAAATAGTTATTAAAATTTTATAAACCACGCTATGCTTAATAGATTAATTTTAAATGGTAAAGAAATATATACTATAATATTACTATTATTTATCATTAATTATTTGCCAATGTGTATAAAAGTATATAATAAAACTTTTTTTAAAAAAATGATATGTACTCTTCAGGAAATATATTTTATAAAATATAATTATATAGCATAGGTAAGAAATTTTATATTAAAATTCAATTTTTAAAATGATTGTTTTATCAAATAATTACATCCCAACTAATAATAAACTTACAAATACAATAAATTATTTAAATATAATTAACAAATTATATGATAATTATGTTCGATATATATAAAATTTTACATAATTAATATGTAAATTTACTTTCAATTTATAAAACTTTGATGTATATAACTTGGTGTATATTACTTTATAGTTTATATAACTTTGATGTATATAACTTTATTTTTATTTACCTGAATTATCACTTCCAGAACAGGCAACACTATTTGAAATTGCACTTAAATTTATAAAGGTTCCCGAGCTGTTTAAACAATGACGAGAAAGATAGTCTTGAATATGTTGTACGATCAAATCGATGGCCACTGTAATACATTTAATTAGACAATATAAACATTTTTTAATAACATTTCTTAAATAAAAATATGAGCTTAGAAATGAACTGCTGATAACTAATATTGTGTATTTAAATTGTCATTAAATATTCTTACCTTTTCCTTAAAACCCAATGCACAGTTTTATAGAGCAATAATATTTTTATATTAACTTTATATGTATAGATACTTGTAAATATTTGTAACTAAATAATTATCTAAAAGTATGTGCAATGTTGTTTTACTAGGATAACTTAACTGAAATACACACACTTCAATTGAGTTAGCTAAATCTTAAGTAAGTTATTTCACAAGCATATGAAATTGTACAAACTGGCACCTAAAACCAATATTAGCCCTGCTATTAAAATTATGACTAATGATTTGGAACTTACATTATATATAAACTGCAAAAATAAAATCGTTTACATATAAAAACAGTAGAAAATCTAGGGAAACAAAAATTTTCAATATAATTCACAGAATTTTTATTTTAAATTATACTTCACAAATAACAAGAAAAGCCACCAAGTTTTTTTTTCCTATTTTTGTTATTAAATGTTTTTTAACATTATGTTGTAATACAGTACGGGTAACGACGTCACAAGATATGTTATATTATGTTAGATAGTTGTATATCGTATAACAGCGGTAGCGAACCTTTTTATAACTGCGTGGTAAATATAATAATTTTGTTGTTGAATTTTTGGCGTGTCCAGATGGTATCACCTGTCGCGTGCGCTATAGGTTCGCTATCACTGTCCTATAACAATGTCATACCGTTTAATCCTTGTACATAAAAGTACAAATGTTTGGATATTTAGATTTAATTTTCATTCGAGAACAAATGAGATAATCAGAATGTTAATACTTAAAATAACTAAAACATTTTTGCATGTAAAAAATTTTACATTAATAATTATTAATATAGATTACTGTTAAAATTTAGAATAATTAATACAATACATGTGCTCCAATTTTCAAAAGCCAAGAAAAACAACAAAAAAAAATTCGCCAAATACTTCATAAGATCGTAAACAAAATATTATATGGAATTAAATGTTTCGTTAACATAATTTTAACTACATATAGAAGATTATTCAGTAATTATTGTGTTAATCAACTAACTTTAAATAATAATTTAAGTGTATATAGAAAGCATTAATTGCGTTAAATTTTGTAAATTTATATTGTTTAATAAAATTTAGTGTTCTCGCTTCATAGTAACAGTCGAACTACTGTTTGTTGTGTGTGATGTCGCGGCATTTAAATTATTAGTGCTTCCGCCAGGTCTAAGTATTTCTCCAATGTGGTGAACAATGAGGTCAATAGCAACTGAAAGAAATATAACAATGAACAAGAACAACATGGAAAACAAGCGTTGACTTATTGTGTTAACCATAATAAGCAGGTATTCAACATTTCAATTATAACACAACTAAGAAGAGTTATAAAAAATAATAATATAATTGTATCATCATACTTATTAAAATCAAGCTTAAAAAGTTAACAAATTTTCAACAACCTAAAAAAGCAAAAAACAAAATTTAAGGATTTGTTATAATTGTTATGTACCAGTATTGTCTGCTCCACGAGGAATAATGACATCAGCAAATTTTTTAGTCTAAAAAACAAAAAGAAAATTAAATATAGAATATAATAATGAGCAATATTGAATTAGGTTTTAAATAATTACCGGTGAGCAAAATTCCTCAAATGCGGGTTTTACAAAAGTCATGTATTGAGTAAGGACAGCATCCAAATCCCGACCACGTTCATTTATATCACGAGGAACTGCAAAATTTTATTTCTTTCAAAACATTAATTAAAAAATATTCATAAAATAGTTTTACCTCTTCTAGCTAAACGTGTGTCTGAATCAGTATCAACAAATAGTTTCATATGAAACAAATCCCTTATCTTTGGAAAATAAAATACTAAAATACCTTCGAAAAGCACAACATCTGCGGGGTAAATTGTTAATTTGTTTTGAAAGTCACTGCAATATAATAAAAAATTTAATATTATGATAATTGTTTATATAGCAATATATTTACAGAGAATTTGTGCGATAATCATAACTCGGTATATCCACTTTTAAACCTTTAAGTATTGATTGTAAAGTTTCAAACATTAATTGTTCATTGAAAGCGTCAGGATGATCAAAATTAAATAATCCTTTTTGTGCTTTGAGATTTTCAGCAGGTGTAAGTTCTCGGTAAAAACTATCTTGACTGATAGTAACAACCTATTGAAAAATATATTTTAAATATAGTTTATTTTTTTTTATTAATAAGTATTTATTTATGATATTTACTTGACGTTGTGTATGATCCATATCAGCTTGACCTAATTGTTCCATTATCTTTTTGCACACAGTAGACTGAAAATATTATGTAGCATTAATATTAAGTAAAATAATTTAAAAGTTATAAATGTAAATATATTATAATATATATAAATTGCTCTTTATATTTAATGAAAATATTATTGTATGTAGAATGCAGATAAATTTTAATGTTCAAATATGAACAAATTTAACTTGCTCTGTAACTTTTACATTAAGTATATTCTACATTAACTATATATATAGTATATTAACTTTAGGTCTTAGTTTCACTTAACTTTTAGTTTTTAATAACATTAAGTTTTTATTTTATATAGCCGATATCGAATCAGTAATAAATAGTTATGATTATAAATTATATTCATATAAATTGATATTACTTTCAATATTACTTCTATTTGCTGACAAAATACCTATCGTGAATATACATAAGATAAGTACACCTATCCCCCGATTTACACGGTACTTGTTTTACATGTTTTCGCTTTTACACGGTTTTCCAAATAAGTTTTTTTTTTTGTTTACTGAATGGTTTCATGAATGTTTTATCCCAGATGCCAAAAAATATTTAAGTTCAAAGTTCATATTTAAGTTTACGTTAAATTGCCTTTTAAAGTGCTTTTGTTAATTGACAATGCGCCGGGTCACCCACAAGATCTAGAATATGAGAACGTTGAAGTAAAATTTTTACCAAAAAATACAACTTCATTAATGGCTGATAAAGAACTAAGTGAGGATTATTTAGTTAACTTAGTTTGCAAAAGTGAGTCTGACAAATCTGATGAAGAGAAATTAGTACCAGTAACGTTCACTGCTAAAGTCATCCGCGAAGGACTCGCATTGGGAAGAAAGCTGGGTAATCATTTTATACAAAATGACACAAACGTTGAAAGGGCTTTACGATTCCAACGTGACATAAATCGCTGCTTGGCTCAATATGAAGAAGTTTACAAAGATCTTACAAAATAACTTCGGCACAAATAACTTCGAGTGATGAAAGTGAATTCCAACCTTCGATTCCGAAAAAAAGAATGAGAGTAATTTCTGATAGTGATGAAGGATAATAAAACACCTTTGATTTTATTTTTTGTTCTTCTGTTTAATGTATTGTAATTAAATAAAAAAACAGTGTTTCCGTAATATATTACATATTTTAACCTGTCAATGCATTTTATTTTTATTTCTGTGTACACCTAAAAATATTGAAAAAAATCACAACTGTTAAATAGCAAAATTATGCATTTTCTGCAAGCTTTTCGATTTACACGGTTTTGACTTGAAAATTTTAATTTTCGATTTACACGTTTTTCTCAGGAACGTATCTACCGTGTAAATCGGGGGATAGGTGTACAGTAATTTATTGGGTTTAACATCAGAAAAGTAAAATTACCATCTAGATGATTGCAGAAGTGAATCATACAGTTTAGTCAAACCCTGGTATATGCAAACCAAACTTCAAAAATTTAGGACAAATCCCACTATGACCACAAAGTTAGTTTAAATGAAGATGATAGACCAGGCACAATACAGACTTTTACGTTAACATAGTATTCAGATACAGATAGGATAGGATAGGAATGAACAGGGTACTAGCTCCAAGCGGAGCACTGCGACCATGATTGATCTTTTGTGCTGCAACAGATCCTAACCGAACAGAACACATTCCGCCTTTCGAATGAAAGCCAGAATGTCGGCCGTTGAGGATCTCCTAATGTCAGAAGTGGAGAGTAGATGACCCAGTTATAGAGAATGTGACTGGAAGTCTCATCTGCTTCGAAGCAGAGTCGACAATCTATCTCTTCGGACAGACCCATTTTGTTAAGGTGATAACGCAATTCTTGGTGACCCGTTAAATATTCCACCAGCAACCTCAACTCTGTTCTGCTAAAGTAGGATACCTTAGCCTGACGGTTACCTGGAGTGTCGCGCTAGTAGCGATTTCTCTTGGCTGAAAACCATTTATCAATCAGAGACCTAGTTGTAGACTAACTTAATGCACAATATGACTCCGATCTACAGAATTTAATGGCAGATCCTGACCTCGTAAGACTGTCGACAGACTTATTACCCTTGATTCCTGTATGACCAGGCATCCAGAAAGTAACAGATATTATATCCATAAAACTAAACATATAAAAAAACTAAATACCATGAAAATACCATACCCATAATCAAAAAGTAAGTTTAGATGTGTACAATAGATCAGGCTCAATACAGACTCTTACGTTAATATAGTATCCAGTTACAGATATTATATCCATAAAACTAAACATATAAAAACAACTAAATACCATGACACTTAAATGCTTTAACCACAACCATAACTTAACCATAATCAAAATGTAAGTTCAGATGTGTACGATAGATAGGTACAACACAACACTATCATTCACTGAAAAAACCTCATAATTTAATTTAGTGTTTTTGTATTAGCAATTCTTTAGAATTTGGTTGTTGGAATTGTCTGAAAAATAAGTTTCAGCTTTTGCTTTACAGCTTTTAATAGTTATATTCATATATCTATAAAATAGTCTAGATTTTAGCATCCCACCTTTCCACTAGCAGTTCCTCCAGACACCCCAATCAGGAATGGCGTTTTTATTTGTTCGTCTTTTAAATCATCTCCATTCTGTAATGAAAGACTTTGCTTCTCGCGTAGGTTTTCCATTCCACAAGTACTGCACAAATTCTATACTTTTTATAAGTAAAATAATTTGTTTTGTACAATATGCTTATTTTTATACTGATAAGGCAAATAAATATGTTATTCGCCTTTCCAAGAGGTTAACAAACATATGTTTTTCCATTTACATATATGTAGACTCATACATATGCGCATTTTACATAATAAAATGTTTTGACAATCAGAAAATGTAAAAGAATAGTACTAACAGAATTTAAGAGGCGTCTATTAAAGGCACGCATGGCGGGCAATAGAAATTTATTCTGGAATCGAAAAATTAAAAATTTCAGTAAAATATTTTACAGATTTAGTTATATAATATATTAGAGTATGATTATAAATTTTATATATATTGTAAAAAGTTTAATTTTAACAATAAAATATTTCGGTCAATAAAAAGTTTTTATCTGCTACTTCTGTTTGCTAGATCCATAGTTGCAGATTCTAATACTAGCCATAATTGCAACAATAATTAAATCGGAAATTATAAGACCAGTATATAAATAAAACTATCAATCAATATACTTAAAAAGATTAATTTTCAGTTCACTTGTTTAACCATTTAAATAACATACATAATTTTTTATAATTCCAATTAAAGTCTGTCTTTATCTTACTAGTTGTGGTTAAAATATTATATATTTCTTTAATCAGTTTACGTCTTTTCTATACTTGTCCTATACATTTTTATTCCGTGTATGTGAAAACCCAATCAAAACAATGTTTTTACTTTTGGTTTACACATAGTTAAACCCCCAAGATTTATTGATAAATATTTAAATCTGGTTTAGAAATAACAATTTTTAAAAATTTACAAAATGCTTCATTCTTTAGAACGATTTATTTTCGTATTAACGCAGATATATATACATATAAAATTATCTTTATGTCTTTCAAATTTAAAATATCTTTTTTGCATACTCAAGTTTACATTTTTGACAGTTTGCTTTTATTTGTGACTGCAGCAAAGCCAAAGAATAATTTATTGTTTTTATTACCAGAGAATACCAAAGGAGTGGTTTCGTAATTACTAATAACAATTCGCAATAACAAGGTACATATATAAAATTTTTTGTTACAAGCGCGTAATTTTTTCTTTCAGAGTTGTAAAAGAACAGCATTATGTCTGGTTGAAACAAATTGACATCACTTTTAAAATATGGTAAATGCTTTTTTTGACATGTTTTTTGTTGTGTTGTGTATAATATGAAATATAAAAATTATAAACACTGAAAATTAATATTAGTAAATGAAATGCTTATATGGTTTTAACGGATGAGTGGAATTTTTTCAACATATTTTCAGTGAAAATTTACAATAAGCTGATTTTTGAATAAGTTTCCACTAAAAATTGAGACTTGACATTTTTTGCGATTCAAGTCTTACTCTGAAAATTTTAGCAGCATTGTTGTTTCACGTGTTTTCTTTTCCACGTTGCGTGTATTTTTTTTTGCTGCTCTAAAAAAAAAAATTACGGCTATTGTAAGAGCGTGCAGAAAGCAAATTACATATTTTCTTTGTTGATTTAAAAGTATAAAACATGAAATTTATAAAATTTAAAATAATTCGGTTGAATAATACATTGTAGTTACAATGAGCGACAAGCATAAAACTAGTACAGCCTACTCGATAAGTGTATTGCACCTTTTAACTGATCCATAATATTTGGTAATAGGTCTTTTCGTTTGTATATATGTCGCAAAAGAACAAATAAAATAACTACTTGCGATGGGAACTCTAGACTAAATGGAAATTTTGTTAGGGATAGATATGCAAAAAACGTAATAAAACTTAAAGTTATATTTCGAAAATTAATAATAATTGTTTACAATTATTGGTAAGAATATTTTTATTTTACATGATTGTGAAAAAAATATGAATTTTTGCCTTTTAACAGTAAAATAATAAATAGAAATAGTGACCTATTTGTTACGAACAATGACGACAAAAATACGAATAATTAACAAAAATAATTAACAATTGGCAGTTACTTGGAAACTTTGAACGCACTTCCAAAAATCGTTCACAATAAACGAATGCGATGCGATTTGAGCTGCTTATTAGTTAATCTGAAATCGATTAAAAGGTTGGCCTAAATAAGCCAGCAGTGTTGTTGCTTCATATATTATTTTTAAAATAAGCGGTTGTTCTTTTGTGATATGCCTAATAACAAAAGAAAAGGCCTAATAATATATTCTATCGCAATACAAAAGTCGGGTGGTTTTGCGAAAAATTTTAGCGAGAACATAAATGGAAATAGATATGCATTTCCCAATTGTGTGAGTTATGCATATCCGTATATTGAATTGAAAAGTCTTAAAAATGGGTTTCAAACATATTTCATTGGATGTTGAAGAAATATATTTTTGTTACAAATGTTTGATTTTAATAATCGACTTTCGTAAAATTTGTATTTTAGAAAATACCTAAATATACTAAATAATGCTAACTTGAATATATAACTACAAAACTAAAAATAATAAATAATAATAATAGTGAAAATAGAAAAAAAATTTAAATTATTGCATAAATAATTCTCAATGAAATTTATATAAGTGATATATAAGAATCACTTTTTGGTTAATATGTAATTAGCATAAGTTTATGTGAATTCTATGTAATTATATATTGAACAAAAATATAATGTCATATAATTATGTATATATATAAATATAAATAAATATATATAATTACGTAATATATAATTACATATATAATAAAAATTTCTGTATGTACGTCGCAATAATTTTATGTGGCAAGCAGTGTGGTTGACACTCATTATTATTGTGAACAACAAATTTTTCTTATCAGAATTTTTGGTAGTCTGGCATCATTAATTTTGAACTGACGCTGTTTTATTATAAAAGTTGTTTGATTTTGTTTGAATCTGTTAATTGTGCGACAAAAATAAAGACGTTGACAAAATTGTTATAAGCATTCTATTAAAGGATGTAAGCATCTCAATTTATTATAAATAATAAATATTAAATAATGTGATCTATATATTTATATAGGTCTGACGACAGTAGTAGCATAAATGAATTTGCCGAATATTTGAACAATGAAGGCTGTGATGGAAAACGCTTTGCAGATTTCGTGCTAAAAAAGGCTGGTGGTACTCGTCCACATAGGATATTTCCCGATGTATATTCAGACAGCGATAGCAGTAGTTTCAACGTGCAGCTGGAAAAAATTACTACTCCATTATTGGAAACGGCGACTTCGCAAGAAAAACCCTTAAATGCTGCTACTGTTGCAAATGAAATAATTCATGATACTCAACCTTCAACTGCACCGCGTAATGTACATAATGTGCATTCACCCACTAAAAAAAGTGGTGGACGTCCGCATTCAGATAATCTTCGAAGATATAGTCTTAAACGACTAACAAGCGTACGGAAAAGACGACAGTTAATTAAGGAATTTGAAAGCACACTTAATGAAGTGGATTTTGTAAGTTATGCTCCTTAATGAAATTGTGTAAAATAAGAACTTTTTTTTATATAGGACCCACATATATGCAGTACACCAATGAACACAAGACAGGACAGTGAAAACAATCAAAGTCGACAAGAAGTTAATGAAAAAAAGTCTAATTCAAATTGTCATACTTTGCCAACTCATGAAACCGCACCTTTAAAGGCATCCCAAATTAACATATCAATTTCAGATAATCTGATGTGCTGTCTACACAATAAAGACGATGAACTGAAAAAATTGTTGAATGATCACATTAATGCTCAGCAAGACTCGAATAAAAGTAATTGTGCGAACTGTTCTAATAAATCTATTGCAACGGATTCTCCCAAATTACAACGTACATTCAATATTGAAAAAGGGACAAATCCAGGAGAAATCATTTTATCACCAGTACATACGACACTTCAAGAATGCCAACAACAACAAAACCTAACACAAAATACATTAACTGGAGTATCAACAAGGGGCGTATCAAGAAATAATCTTCAACCAAATCGTACATACAACCTAACATTGCGTGCCAAAGAATTACGAGTTTTACAAGAATCCAAAAATAATATAATTCAAAAAGAAAATATATCTAATGCCGAAAGAAATGTATCAAATAGTTTACAAAATATTGAACATCTGAATAATTTAAATCAATCCTCAAGTTTAAACTATCAAAACATTGTTGACGAAGATGAAGTTGTTATACCTCAGACCCAAGAATGTGAAAATCCTACTCGAAATATATCAACAAGAAATAAAAATAGTGCAAATACTCTAAATACTTTGAAACGTTCTTCAATACACAGTCAACGAAATAGAGATATCACAACACATAGTAATATAATTATACCTGAAACTCAGAATATTACACGAAATTTGTCAAAAGTTTCCTTTGATGATAGAAATGTGCCAGATCATAGTTATGTTGTTAATAAGTCATCACATGTAAATCGAAGAAACAGAAACGGATCAGTTAAAAGTCTTAATTTAAACACAAACACCAGGCTTAGTAAGACAAATGTAGAAACTAACGCTACAAATGTGTTTGAAAAAAGCAACTTAAATAATTTATTAACAGATGACGAAAATGAATCTGTTGTTGAACAAGAAATTTGTAAAAAGGACTCTAGTAGTGCACCCTTAAACTTAGCTTCTAGAAGATTACGGCCACGACATTCTATAAAAGCAAAGCAAATGCATGTTGGTATTCCTATTGCTCATCCACTGAAATTGGAAGCTAAGAAAACGGGCATACAATCACTAAAACAAAAAATACCATTAAACAAAGCACCGAATACTCCAATTAATGGCGAAAAATTTGCCGATGAAATTAAATCTCAATTAGTTCGTTTGACAAATAATGAAATACTTGACTTACGGAAGCGGAACTCACTTGGTAAAATTTATACAGTTAATAGTACAAATTTAACAAAACAACAAGAGTTAAAGGAGAAACAGCAATTATTAGAAAAGGAAATTGAAAATGAACTAAGAAATCGTTCATTACATTATGTTTCAAACAAACATTCAAGACATGTATTAAATACAAGTTCGGAGGAACTATCCAATACATATGTTGAACTGTTTTCGGTACCAGATGTATTTAAAGATGTAAATAGACAAAATAAAAGTATTCAGTTGTCAAATACAGAGGAAAATAATATTGAGAGACGATTTGGTGAAAAAGATCGTAAGATTAAAAAAAAATTAACTGTTAAACATGTTATTTTGAATAATGTGGATACACAAAACAAAGGCAGTACGATATTAAACGGTGAAGAATTGAGATATCTATGTTCACAGGAAGATAATGATGAGATTTTAATTCCGGATACACAGCATAAAGAGTGTCAATTGGAATTGGAAGATATGTATACGAAGGAACATACTGATGAGATTTTAATTCCAGATACACAAAACAAAGAGGGTCCAATTTTAAACGCTGTTGAAGTAGAAGATGTGTGTACACAGAAAGATAATACTGAGATAGTAATTCCAGAAACACAAAACAAAGAGGGTTCAATATTAAACGCTGTTGAATTAGAAGATGTGTGTATACAGAAAGATAATACTGAGATAGTAATTCCGGATACACAAAACAAAGATTGTCCAATATTAAACGCTGTTGAGTTAGAAGATGTGTGTACACAGAAAGAAAATATTGAGATAGAAATTCCGGATACACAAAACCAAGATTGTTTATCATTAAATAATAAAGAATTGGAAGATATGTGCGCACAGGAAAAAAACGCTGAGATAAATGCGGGTACGCAGGATAAAAATATAATATCATCAAATGAAGAAATGTTGACAATTATATCCTCACAGGAAGATAAAAATGAGTTCTTGGCTGGCAATAAGTCGGATTTAAATCAAATTTCATTTGTAAGATTAATAGTAAATTAAATTAATGAAATAGTTTTTATTTGAAATTTCTTTTTATAGCTTCCTCGAAATGAAATTCCTAGCAATGGTAGAAAAAATACTAAAAAAACTAAAAACAAAAAACGGCAAATTGTAAGTGTTAAGAATTCTCATTAATAGACTTACTTTAAGGAATTACTTATAGTTAGTAAGCTATGTTTATTTAAATAAATCAAGTCATTAATATTACTCTCTGATATAGAGTGGAGATGAAATATGGAACCTATAGTCTTGGAAGTGATTAGTATTGCAAACGAAATTCTTACAAATGTAATTTAATTTGCGTTAACTGTTTATTGACATTATACCTTAATTCATGTAGCGTATGAGGATACATTTCGTGTAGATAAATGTATAACTATTTAATTTTAGTTGATAGTGCAAACTGCACTGAATATAGACACTTCAGGTTATAAAGATTTTTGATTTGTTGATATGCACCACGAGACAAGTTGCTTTAGTAATGTCTATGCAACAAAGGTCGAAATTGGTGATTAATTGATTTTTCTTATTTATAATGTTAATTACTGTATGTTAATCTATTAAAAGATAGTATGAACTTTGATTAGGATTTCGATATAGATGAAACTTCCATCTATATCTGTAGTATATTTAACATTGATATATTTTTACAAAAAAATATTTTTTTTTATTAAGATATGCTAAAATTTGAATATCACATCATAACAAAAATTAAACTGATTAATTAAATTAGAGTCCTTACTATTAATTTTTGATTGCAATATACATTGTTTGCTGAAATCAGAGCTTACGAGAGTAATTTTTATATAGGTTCATGCAGCTAACCAAATTAACTAATCAAACCTTATTAACAATGTTTGGGCTTATATTATTTGAACTATTCGAAGCTTTAGTTATGCTTATGTGCGAAGTAAAATTTATGTTATATCCTTGAGTTGTTACAGGTATGCAGATCTGAGGTCAATTATTACTTAGTCTGATGATGTGATAAATAATAATCCAGTCAAGGCGCAAAGAGGGGGGTTTGAAGAAACCTCGCAGTTAATATAGAGTAAAAGTGCTCAGGTGCACTGACTCAACTTCCCTCAACATAATAATAATTGAGTTGTAAAATGACTTTATAAATTTATTGTAATACATATTCTGTTTATGTGAACTTGAACTTTGTTAGTTATTATTTTTTTAATGTTTTTATATTTTATAATATATATATTTAATATATATTTATATGCAAATATTTAATTCCAGTCAGAGGAGACTCAAAATTATATTACAATAAAAGAGCGCTTAAAAAAACGACCTAAAAATAGTTTTTCAAAACGTTCACTTTACTCGAAAGGATTTTCTGATTCAGAGAATTCAGATGTGACGTCATTTCAAAATGAGTGTTCTATAATGGAAAACAATAGCAGCAATTATATTCCTGTAGCTACAGTACCATCAACACCATTACTACCACCACCCTCAACACCATCGTTACCACCACCATCAACACCATCACTACCACAACCATCAAGACCATCACCACCATCATTAGAAATTGCGGCAGGTTCCGTACCTAAGAGTACAAAAAATGATGATGAAATCTTTAGAAAACCTGTTGCACCTGCACCTAAAACTAGATCTAAAATACGTAAACCTATTGAATTGCCTACTACTACTGAATGTACTTCAGAAAACGGTAAAATGATCACTTTCATAATTTTTATAATTGTTGTAAAGAATAAAATTTCAGATCAAACTGTTCGAAGATCAAAACGTGGACATGTACCATTAAAGACTACTACACCTTATGTTCGTATGTTAAAAGAAATGATGGAAAAATCAGAACTAGCAAAAAATAAACGTGTGAATACAACGAAAACGGATGCGCAAAAAACATCAACATATAGTATGAATTCAAATGACCTCGTTCCAATTGCTTCTAGTACAGTTAATACCAAATCAAAAAGATCAAAGAACATTGTCATAAAAAATAATATAAATCCAAAAAAAAAGCAAAAGAAACAAAATCAGCAAGAACAGCAGCAAACTCCTAGCTTGCTTGGAGATACCGACAATGTTAATACTACAGGAGAATCAACTGAAAGTAGAAATCTGCAGTTAAGATCACCTGATTCTGAGCCAAATAGAGTGTTGCTGGATGACGAATATCCAACATCGTCAATACATACAACAAAATCAAATCAAGGGAAAAGAAATAAGTCGCCAATATATGAGTTCCACCATGAAGTATTCAATGAACATCATCCTACGACACCTACTTACACAAAAAATTCAAACCAAAAAGAATGCATGTCTCCAATTAGTCGAATTGGGGAGGAACAACATAATAAAGTAAAGAGTGGTAAGAATAAAAAGTCAAAAGTGAATGAGAACAAAAAAAATTTAGAAAGTAGCCATATTGAATTTAATCCAGCTCCAGTTAGTGAATTAAATAGTATATTTGATCGATTAAAACATGAATCAACTGTGGAATCACAAATAAATTCCCAAACAAAAACATGTGTAATACGCGTGCAGCGTTTAAAGATACCAGCACAAGCCACAAAGAATGCACTTATGCCTAAATCTGTATCAAACACTGCAACACAATCTAATATCGCAGTTGCAACTACCTGCTGTGAGGTATATGAAAGAGACTAAATATATAATTTAATATAATTTTATATACAAATTTTTATTATTATATAGTGTCCCAATACTTACCCTCAATCTGATGGAGAACTGTTATCATGGTTAAAAGGCTTGAGAGATATTGGGAATCCATTCGGAAATGAAAAAATGTTTACAGAAATGCACTGTTGTAAGTAAAATATTTGTTTTTTAATATATATTATCAATATGTTAAAAATTTGTGTTCAGCTTTTAGCTTTTCAATTTTATTCAACATAAATTTATATTAGAAGGGTTCGAATAGAAATGCAAGTTTATGCAGCCACGAGTTGTAAGCCTGGCACTTGCAGTCCAAACAAATTATGTACGGACTATAAACTAATTAAAAAATTCGAATATTTTCTAAGACCGCTAATATTGAGTACTTGGCAATACCCGAAACAGCGTTGTATGGTTAGCTAAATTTCAATAAATTAACTACAATTTTTGTTGTTGTGTTTTCATTTCTATTCGAACCCTTCTAATATAAATTTATGTTGAATAAAATTGAAAAAAAAATAACATAAAATTTGAAAAAATATATATAAAATACATAAATTTATATTCATATATACAGATCAAGCTCCGTTATTGTGTATATTTATAAATATGTATATTGTTGGTTAAAATTTTTTTTTTATAATTAGCGTACAAATCTGATTTATTGATCATAGTAATTATTATAATCCAAATACTGATTTCAATTAATAAAAATAAAATCATTTGGATCTATTTCTAATTAATTCAAATCAGTGCTGCAAAAACGGCTTTAATTGAAGAAAACACCAATAAAGTGACCGTATAAGTATTTGAAAACCGTCGTTTAGGTCTGACACAGCTAGAAAGGTTAAGTTCTCTATAATTTCACCTGAAATCAAGTTAATGTTCTCTGTTTATCAACTGCCGTGATGTATTTCATTCTGAGTTCTTATCGGAAGTTGAATGAGTCACAGGTTTGAATGAGTTTATCAGGTTTGAGGAAAAATTGAAATTTCAGATATCTGATTTATGCTTGCCATAAAACCCAGTGTGACCTATAGCACCTATAGCATTGTAGCACCTATATCTTTTTTTTGGATAACATTTTATTTACGACACTTTATGTCGATTATTTTAATTTTAATAATGTAATCCCTGTTTACTGCGTTGGTAGGTAGGAAGGTGTAATAAAGCCAGGTCGAAAGTTCCCCAATTAACTATAAGTTTTTTTGGATCTATATTCCTCGTAAATTTGGGTTGAGTGTTTTACAACTATTCAAACGCATTGATGTCTACTGCGCATTTACTAAGATGTCACATTTGTAGACTACTTTATTACAATATTATTGTATTTTATGAAGAATGGTTGGGATACATATTATTGTCATATGTTGTTGCTACCCGCAGGGATCTGCTTGTATAGTCCTTTTTGGGTGTGGTGAACGGACGTAGACTTAGCCGTTCTTGAAACCATTGTTTTTAAGCCGTGTTTAGCCATTTTTAATTTTTTTTTTTTGAAAGCTATCGAAATCGAAAACTTGTTAAGACTCTTATTAGATCTCTTATGACAATTTCGTTATATAGTTTTGAACTGCTGTCTTTAATTTCGAATATAAAACACTTATTCTGTTTAAATGTTATTTCTCTTATTAAGAGATTATAGCCCATCTCATCAATGATTATTTTAAATTTATTCTTTTAAAATATAGATATTATTAAAAAAATAATGATCCGATCAGGTTGGGATATAGTTTATGATCAGTTTTTGAAAAATGTTTGTATTTCAATTCAATCTTAAGTAAGTAAACTTACAATACCGCGTCAAACTTGTTTTTCTTGTGTTGGAAATTTGGATATGTTTTCTTTTTAAGAATGTTCTATCTTAAATTAATTGATGAAGATCTTCAAAAGCTCCCTCTGAATGAGCTGGTTCGTTTACTTGAGATTTTAAATTTCTAAATGCAAAGGGGTGCATAATAGATCAAGCTAGTCGCAGTGCATAAAGACCTTAGCCTAACCCATAAACAATTACCATTATTATTTACATCTTAAATTAGTTGCTTTTTAGGTTATAAACTTATATGTTGCTTACATAAATTTTACCATTTTTTTTTTCTTTCAGCTGCTGCCGGTAATTTATTATTTACAGATTTAGAAGGAATTGATTATGCATTTTATGATACTGAAGAAAAGGCTTCTTTGGGTTACTTGCGTTTTAAGCCTAAGCAAATAAAACCTTTAAAAAGAGCTAAGAAATTTCATTTGGTAATAAAATTTGGTTTATATTTTTGGAAACAAATTTATTTATTAAAATTTTGTTTTTAGCATTTTGTTGTCCTTTCCGGTAAATTTAAAATTAGCACAAATAAAGATCAAGGTGAATTTAAAATGGGTGACATGATTGCAATCAACAAAGGTATTTGCTTTAAATATTTAGTCTTAAATTATAGATTATGTTTATGTCATATTTTTATAAATAGGTACCCGTTATGAAATAAGAAACAATGCAGATGAGATTGGAATTTTAATGGTTATTAAAAAGTAAAAATTAAAATGTTTAAAATTTAAATAGCGTAACTACTGTAGTTATTTTATACAATATGTTCAATCTGTTTTTAAAGTAATATTTCTATATATTATTGAAATTATTTTGTATTTTTTAAATGTAAATAAAATTTGCAACAAAGAATATAAATTATAGGAAAAAATTAAATACAATTTGATAATCGTATATACAGCAATATAAAAACAACATATATTTGTAAGTAAGATCATAATCCCGGTTATTGTATTATATATATGTTGTATGATTGCATAATTATACTTTGCTTAAAACAAGAGTTAAATTTATTTCATGTCTTTTCTTTTATTTAAAACAAAATTTAAAATTTGACTATTTTTTTTTATTTTATTTTATTAATTCTGTTTTGATTTCAAACGTTCTGTATGATTAGAATTAGAATTTGTAATTGCTTGTACTTTAGTCATTTTACAAACGATGTCGTAAATATTTGGGAAATTTTGTATGAACAAATACACAGACAAGAGATATGCACATATTACTATAGTTAAAAATAAGTCAAATACTGCTGGTTTAACGCGATAAATATTTAATTTTGCATACTGGCCCTCATAGAACATGAAATCTGGTTCTCGTACGTCAGGTTTATCGTATATTATTTTAACATTTTTGAGGTATTTTTCAAAACCATTTTTAAGATCGTCATTATGTAGCGCAGATTTTACATTAAAATATGATTTAACCAGCTTTGCATTAATTTCCTGTAAATAACAAACAAAGTGATATAAACTTTTTTAATAAATAAATGTCTTTTATAATATATTTACAGTTGTGCCCGAAAATATTTCTCCCTCTTCTTCTTCTATATGGTAAATATGACGTGCCAGTGCTTCTGCAATAATTTTCGCATTTATTTGTGCTTGCGCTATTATTTCATCATCATTATCTCTAAATATTGTTGTACGAATGGGATCTTTTGACGATTTTAATGTTGAAAGTGTAAATGCTGGCAAGCGTTTCATACTAAATCTTTCATGTTCCCAGGCAAGATATTGATCAGCCAAGTTTATTTTCTTATGTACGCCTTCAATGGTTATATTGTTTGTTGCGGTTCCCAAAGTTTTGAGCAATTTGTAGAAATTATTAACTGGGGTGCCTTCCTTTGGTGGTTTTGATACGTGCATATAAATTGAGGTTGCATCTTTTGGTGATTGAGGTAATGCTATTGTGTCCAAGCAAAGAACAAAATCGACATTCTGTTTAAATTGAAGAAAGTTATATGATATTTATAGATATGTGTATTATCTCAGCTATGATGCAGCTAGCAGTTACTCAAATACGAATTAAATATTGATATCGACATTAATTGTTTATATTTATTTGATATATTTGCCGGGTTTTAAGTGGTAGTTTGATTAAATTTTTAATAATATTAAATAAAGAAAACAAATATTTTAAAATTAAACAAAAAACTTTTATACAAATACGACTATATTTTATTTTCGTCTACTTTGTCATTTATAGTGTTCTTAATTTTTAAATAACATATAAGTTAAAAAAAACTAAAACATTTTGGACTATTAAAATAAGTGTTTTATTAAATTATTTTATCTTAAAATTTCTAAAAAAAGAAAAGCACAATATGAAGTCTGTCGAAAAAAAGAAAAAAAAAAGAAAGCTATAAACTATATAAAACTACTTTGATAGCATAGAAAATAAACATTGTAGAAACATTCTACTTTCAGATATTAAAAATGCTTGTATCAGTTTAGTAAGGAATACAATGTTTGGATACTTGAGTAATAAAGCGAATACTAATATTAAGTTCACTATAGTACACTTATTTTTTAAACAACACAGCCAAATGTCAACTGGTCCGAAAAGTATTATTTGTGTTTAAACAAATGGCATTATGAACAGATTGTGCTTAGTAAAAACACACTAAATACTTTAGGTAGAGATATTTTTGTGAAATGTTTTTAATCTGAATAGTTATACACTATTTTTAAATTGTAAATTTCGAAAAATGAAGTATTATATGTTATATATTTCATCATTTGTATAAAATATAAAAAATATACATAGCTTTTGGAAATATCATTCAATTCGTTAAATAATTAATATGTTAAATACTACAATATTTCATACTCAAAATGATTCGTATGATGTAATATTTGGAAACTTCTGTTTAGTGTAATTAAGTCTTTTTAATGCAATTGTCTTATGGAAATAGATAGACAAATATTTTAGCAATACATTAATTTTATATATACATAAATAATTGGATAACCTTAAAATCGACACTAAATTCCTTTTTCGGTGCTATTAGTTGACCCGTGATGGAGACAATATCTTCCTTCCATGTAAAATTTATTAAAAAATTAGAAGCATTAAGAAATGTAATACAACTTAAAATAATATACAGGATATTTTGTTTTTAAATTTGATTTTTTCGTTCAGGAACCAAAAAAATCTTATTAGAAATTTTTTTATTTTTAATATGAGATACACGATGCTAAAAAGTCGTACTTTTCTCAAAATATCTTCACTTAAAAAATCTAAATCTAAAAACAAAATTTTTTATTACTACTTATACGCCCTAGCAATTAGAGCTTTTCGTAATTAGAAAAAAGTAATGAGTAGTTCGTTCTAGACCTCGATTATAGTAAAACGGTAAGAGATAAAAGAAATATTATTTTGCAAAAAATTATTCGTTCAATTTTCAATCAACTTAAATTCCGCATTCAAATTGAAGAGTAGTTAATGGCTTACATAAATAAAACATTTTTTAATGGATTAAGAACTATGCGAATTAAGCCATTTAAATTATTCATTATTGATATATTGAGAGCTTCTTAAATGAAAGTATTTTTCTTGTAGATTACTCTTGACATCAATTATCTTAGTGTTAATTAAATAGACTCCTAACGACTTTTGTCAAATCAAAAAATCATTCTCTTAACACTTAAACCATTTTAAAGTGAATATTAATTAATTATTGTAATATAATATTAACATAATATATATATTTTTTCGTTTTATTTATATAATAAAATATTTTTTGGGTTATTATAATAATAATTTTATTATTATAATAATGATCTTAAATATACCTTCAAAATTAAGGTTTGAATTTTCTTGAGGTTTGTAGGTTTTTATCTTCTCTAGACTTCTCGTGTTTCATATATATTTTTGAGCCGAGTCTAAGAAATATGAAATTTTCATATTTAAAGCTAAAGTAATAGTTATAAAAAATAATTAAATTGGTGACTGTATTTTTAATTTGGAATTCAGTCGTTGTTGAGATTTAATAGTTTGCAAGATAGTATTCATTGTTTATGCAATTCAGAAATCATAATATTTCATTAGAAATTATTTGCACAATAGATTGAAAATTATTCCAATTTTTATGATAGTAAATTCATATTTTCTTACTTGTAATTGCACATTTTCATCGAGCCATTTTTTGATGCCTTGGAAATTAAGTAATGGTCCAGATTCCGATAATAAAAACATTAAACGATATTTTGGTGCGGAATTATGTCTATTATGCATTTTACTAAAAAGATCAGCAATGGTCATTAAAATTGCTACATCAGCATTTACTGGGTATTCCTGTAAAAATTTATTTGAATATTATATTTTCTATATATTAATAATTTCGTTAACTCACATTATAAAGACCAAATGTTTTCAAATGTGCTGCCACCACTATTAATGGAAGTTTAGTATTAGGATCAACGGCACCTTCAACTTGTTTAACATTTTTATTTGGTGCTAGTTCGCCTTGTATTATTGGAATTTTGCTATTCTTATTGTTTACATGAGTGGCACCGGTTACAACTATTTGATATCCATTTGCTGATATTGATGAAAAGATTTCCGATATAGCAGAATCACGTTTGTTTATATTTTTATTGGCATTAAAACTGTTATTAACACTTGTACTGTGATATATGTCCGACATAATTTTGTCCAAATTTTCATTGTATTCGGAGAAATAAATTGGTATGGAGTTTGGTTGTGAAAGCATAGCTTGTTCAAGCATAGTTATATACTACAAAATAAATGAGTTAACAGTGAAGGTATCATTAATAAATAATATTTTTTTAAATACCTGTTTTTCTTCAAACGAAAGACTAGTATAGTTTTTCGGTAACAAAATAATTAGTCCACCGGCTTTCTGTCGTATTTCATTAAATTGATCTATCGATAACTCCTGCAATCTATTGAAATATATTGTAAATAAAAAGAATATTAATGCGTTTTAAATGTTGATTATCATTGCCCTAAGTTACCTAGCCACTACGCAGTGCCTCGCCGTACTCCAAGTATATATCGATTTCGCTTCGAGAGATATTGCAGATGATCGGCAACCTTAAGAAAATGCAGTAACATAATGTATTATGGAGGTTGTAGATATTTATACTAATTTATGCGAGAGGAAAAAAGTACAAAGTACGGATTTAATTGAGTTCAACTTTTATATGTAGAACTCACTTAAATACTGATATAAATTTATATTTTTTTAATATTTTAAGAAATTGACTTTTTATGTAGTATTTATGCTAGAAACATTTTTGTTAACGCTCAATAGATAATTTCATTACACATTTTGACATTTATGGCATGAATGGCAAAAAGCACCTAACCTTATTTTTATCTTTTTTAAAAATTTCTCAAGTTTATGAATAGGAAACTATATTTACCATATGAAACTCCATTTATATCATATTGAGACATTCTTTGCACTGCAAATTCACTAGATGCAATAACAGGATTCGATGAACAAATTATTAGTATAGGCAGAGCGAAGAGTAAGTAATAAGGTAGCCCGCCTCTAAATATATCTGCAAAATTGTCTGCTTCTTCAAACATGATTTTCGTTGGAATTTCAACTATGTATATTACTTAAGTTTATATAAATTTGAACTAAATCTATTGACACCAATAAATTATTAATCTAATTAATATGTTACAAAAAATCCACTCGTGACGTTTCAGCGGTTGCAGTGACAGCAGCAATTTTGACAATTGTGGTAGCAGATAACAAAAATAAAATGACCCAGCAGTAAACGTGGCATTGGAACGAATGAAAGGAATACAAGAGAGTCAATTTCTCTACATAATGGAATGATAGATCTTATAGTGAAATTAAACTATAGTGAAATCAATTGCTGCACCATAATTGATAAAATAGTGATAAAGTAGTAGGTCTGTTCCACGAGCTACTCATAGTAACTTTGAGTAAACACTGTGTATACACAAGCGCGTTCCACCAGCAAATTTTCAAGTATTTTTGTGTAAATTTTACTTCTGTTTTACTCATGTTTTATTATGAGTAGCGAGTGGAACAGACCTAGTATTAATTTAGGGACGTTGCAATTTGACTACGGAATTTTGTCAAGTTTACCGCTCTAAATATTTGAATATCAATTAAGCTTCTGATAATATGTATTTAGGAAAATTTTTATAATAAACAGAAATAGGACTTAAAGAATAATTGTCCTTTACATTGTATTGTATTTTTATATAATTCATTTGCAAAAGTTCATTTAGCTGCCACGTTTGTAGAGTTGTCAGTAGTTATATTTAATTATTACTATATTTAATTATTCCGGAAATTATATATTATGTTAACAATCTAGAAATTAATGACTACACAAAATTGAAAAAACGGGAAAAAATATTGGATGTAATTCGTCATTAAGAGTTGTTTCAGTTAAAATAAAATTTTATTTTTAATACTAATAATGTATGAACTCCTCATAGATATGGTGTATTTATTTTGATTACTAAGAAATAAAACCTCCGAAGAACAGTAAACTATTTCAGATTTTTATTTAAGAACTGCTTTAAGACAAAAATATATAATGTAAATATAAGTAAGTATTACTTCAGTAGAACTGGTTATACTTTGGGACTCGTTCATGAATAGATAATAATATTTACACGATTGCTGGGTAAATTCCCTAACCTTTTGAAGAATCTATAAAGTATCTTTTGAAGTATCTTACAGTAATAAAATCTAAATTAATATACATTTGATCTATTTTAAGTAGAAATAAGTAAACATTTTTAGTTTTTTGAGTGTCAGTTAAAAAATTACTGTAAGATAAAAAAGCAGTCCAACACATTGCACAAGTTTCTGTAAGCTATTAAATTGCATTTCAAATTGTTTGGATCAGATGATTCTATATATACAATTGCAATTATCGAATTTCTGCACATACTGTAAGTTAATTGCGATAGTGTAAACATATTAGTTTTTGTTGTAGTTTAGTAACAATTAATATAATACTTAATAATGTGAAGATTAAAAATAACAAAAATATTTTATTAAAAATTAGAAAGAATAAATTAGTGCCAAGCGCAAGTCATACAGTGGTGAACTTCAATTTGTTTAAAATATAGAATTCCAAATAAAGTATTTTTCTATTTTTATTTGACTATTTTTTACAATTTTTAACTACTGCTTAATATTCAATAGAATGTAGTTTTCCTTTAATAAAATGGTTCTTCTCGGTAATAATATGGTTATATATACCTTAGTAATGCCATTTGCACTAATCTATTCGTAGCATAGTGAATATGAACACATCATTTATAATAAAACCTGTAAGTATGAAAATATATCATACCTTTTTATATCTAATGTTTGGAAGTTCTTTAAAAATCTTATTAATTTAATAAAAAATATAAAAATTTTGAGTAATTAACAATACTCATACGTTGAAAGTTTCTGCATAGGTGTCATTGCTCTTACCACTCCAGAATTCTGTTACCTGAATAATTAATTTTAAACACTTAAAAAGTTTAACGTAGTCAATTTATTTAAGAAACTTTTAAATGGTTCCATGGTCTTAAGGCGTCGTGGAAAGTATGTTTTGCTAAAGTTTGACCAGTAATTAGTCAATAAAAATTCTTAATTAAAGTCACTAAAGTAAATTAGTTTAAAATTATCTATTATAAATGAAGAGATAAGGGTTAGCAACATATCCTATACATTATGAGTGAGAGATTTAAACAAAAGTCTGTCTGTGAACCAAAAATTATTTAAAACTTAAAGTAATAATAATGACTTTTTTATAAATATAATTTGCGTGGTTCCGAAAATAAAATCTGTTTTTTACAGAGAACTTAAATACATTTTTTTTGCATCCAAGTGTACATTTAAACTGGATTATCTTTATAAATTTTAGCAGAAGATTTAAGAGGGTTTAGTTTTCTGCAATAATTAATACTGTATTTGAAGCTATATTCAGTTATGTTAGTCTAATGCATAATTTTCGAAATGTTTGCAAATATCGTCCTATATCGGCTTAAAGATGCTTCACGATCGTTAAGACTACTTGAAGCTGATGAAGACAAAAGTTTTTACAATTTGAATACAACGTATTATCACAACAGCCATACTCTCTACATCTGGAATGTCTTGTTTATTGCTTGTACCATTTCACACAAAATTTTTTTTATTTGAACTTAATTCATTAAGTTTCAATACATAATATAAAGTGTCTAAATTCTGTCCAAGTGTGAAGGATAATGTTGGAAAAGTTTCTTACTTTCTATCTATGGTATTTGAAGAATGTCGCTACAATAGGCTGAAGTGATACCGACGATTTTCAAATACTTTAATATTAAAGCCTGACATAATATATAAAGCAATGATTATAATAGATTTTTAATAGACTAATATGAATGTAATGTCTAATATAGTTTTGATATACAGTTAGCCAATCGATACCAATTAGAGGTTAAGCCCTACACTCGTGTTAAAGATCATTTATCAATAATATTATTTAGTGAGAGATTCAACAAATACTTCAACTTGTACCTAAATTATTATTATAACAATATATCTTTCCTGACTTATAGTTCAGTTAGGCATTTCCGTAAACCTCGCAATTCTTCACAGGTTTATTGGTGGGCTGATTACAGTTCTGATCTTTGAAAACACTTCCATTGAAATTTAAAATAATATTTATTAAACAAGTTAATGGTGCAACTGGATACGGTTTAAATTTGTAAATTGCATTCTTCGAGTATCTAAAATTATAGATATATATCTTTCCTGACTTATAGTTCAGTTAGGCATTTCCGTAAACCTCGCAATTCTTCACAGGTTTATTGGTGGGCTGATTACAGTTCTGATCTTTGAAAACACTTCCATTGAAATTTAAAATAATATTTATTAAACAAGTTAATGGTGCAACTGGATACGGTTTAAATTTGTAAATTGCATTCTTCGAGTATCTAAAATTATAGGTAATTATAAGTTCTGAATTAGTTAAAAGTTTGCACTCTAAAATTAAGATTAGTAAATTAGTATGAACCTAGTTAGCTAGCATTCAATGAGCTATATAGTCGAGTTCATTTCTATTAGAAAATACTCGGCTTTGTAATCGGTCAAGTCAGCGAATATGTTTAAAACTCAATTTTACGGCGGTAAAATAAACTTGCTTTACTCGGACACTGATTTTAAACGTGTGAATAATCTTTTCAGTGCACAAATAGGTTTTATGACATTTATGGGACAGATTCCATTTAAACTTGAAAAATATTTACCCAAATCCTTATATACTTTCGGCTGGTTACTCGCTCGGTTCTACTGCGCGTTTGTGGTATTGCAAACTTTACATCTTGCTCTGCTCTTTATTAAAACTACTATTGATATGTTGCTCTATGGCAAACTGGAGGAGATAACCGATTCACTTACGATGGCTATTATATATTCTTTTTCATGCTTTGCTACATGCTATTGGCAATGGCGTTCAGTACGTTTAGTGCAATTATTACAAGATATTAACAATAAGTATCGTCACCATTCATTGGTTGGGCTTACATTTGTAAGCGCTCGAACTGCGTATAGGAATGCACGTAATGTTACCATATATTGGCTGATAGCCTGCATTAGTGGTGTCATGTTCTGGGGGATGGCACCTATTATTTTGCATTCACATACTTTGCCATTGAAGTGCTGGTATCCCTTCGATGCTTTGGTAAAAATTTATTGATAAAGTAGATTTACTGAAGTAACTTTTTTAATTTGCAGCAACCATTTGTTTATGAGCTGGTCTATGCTCTACAGTTGCTTGGTCAACTTAATATGGGTACCACATTTGGTAATGGCTCCGCATTATTCGTATCTATAGTTATTATTATGTTGGGTCAGTTTGATGTGCTATTTTGCAGTTTGAAGAACTTAGATGTACATGCCAGATTATTTGCTGGAGAGAATATAGTCAGCTTGTTGTAAGTATGGGATAAGTTACTATAAAAATTTAAAACAAAACTTAACACAAGAAAACTCTCTTCGATTCACTATAAGAATACTATTTGGGGAGCCGATGTGCTAATTATATAACCCTATTATTATTGTTATTAATATATTAGTTTTTAAAAAGTTATGAAGTTATTACATTATTTATTACCATATTTGCAAAATATTCAATGGATCTTATGTACATAAAATCTAGGTGAAAATGGATCAGCTATGAAGTGTTTAAATTGGTCACAAAACCCCAAGGACCACGTAATCGAAAGTATTCAATAATAGCATGAAAGTGTATTACGCTTATGTATTACATAGGGAGATATTGTGGATTGAAAGCAAATTCATAGGCAATACTGCATTCATTTTGAAGTTACATCGATTTTGATATATATTGACATCAATACCTTTGATTTCGGACATTTTTTTATAAGATTATTTTTTGTTTATATATATAAGCAGACTATATTAACAAATTCTAAAATTAAATTACACATAAAATATTATAATATTTTATATTATAAAATGTTCAATTAATTATCTATAACAGATTATATAGAAATTAGCATAATATGCAAGTTCTCTAAACTCCTTGGATCCGTATCTTCTTAAAAGATATTTTTTTCACGAAATATGTATTATTTTATTTCACTAGAGAGATTTTTAAAAAAATCGATGGTAATAAATTAATTTTTTGTTAAAACTCAACCCGTTTAATGATTCTTAAGTTGATGTTACGTAGATCTCCAATGCTAAATGATGTATATGTGCGTATACGAAGAGATTGAAGGAAAGTAAGTTATATTTTTAATAACCTTTTCACCTCTTATTATACATTTCATAACTGTAAAGTACATCGATTGGAATCATCAGTGACGTATTATTGTTGGTAGAGTATAAACCCTCGATGAATATAGAATTAACATACATATTCCCCATTGATTACTACTTAAAAAAAATGCATATGGGGTACAAGTAAAGAGTTGGTTTTAGAGTTGGTTTGAACCTGAACGTTTCACATATGATAACTTGTAGCGAAGATTTTTTTGATGTCAGTATTGGAATAAAATTATGCTAGATATCTTCGTTCTAAGAAGTACACTAAAAATATATTATCATATTCTATTCTAAAAATTTCCAGAACTGTGATGTATATTTCATTCGGAGCGAAAATTTTTACAACTTTATATGATAAACCAATATATACGTAAAGATATATATTAACATGAGATAATATTACTACTACTAGTATTGTCCATTTCCCATAGTGGGTCATAGGGCGTCAATAATTCTTCTAAATCTGACTCCATTTGGTGCTTCTCTATAGATGTCGTTCCAAATTATAATATGGAGATAATATTAAACAAATTTAATCCCAATTCCTCACTTGACAAAATTCTAATTGTGCTAAAATAAATAAATTCCCATTTATCAGTCGATAGAATTTTTATTTTAATTAAATGATTTGATTTTGGTTAATTTTGATTTTCTTATAATTCATGTTTAGGCAGACACAACGCGAACATTACTCAGAAATCAGTGAACTAAATCAATACTTACATGCTGAAGAATTACAAACCTCGGAGGATACTTTAACCCTGCTGAGCCAGAAGTGTAAAAGAGAGCCAAAACAAATTAAACAAGCGCTACAGGAAGCATTCATTGAATGTGTCCATTTACATCGATTTATCATAGAGAGCTGCAATATGCTAGAAGAGCTCTTCAATCCGTACTGCCTGGTAAAATCATTACAAATAACTATGCAGTTATGCTTATTAGTATTTGTGGGAGTTGCTGTAATTATGATAATTTTCTGGATTATGATAGAAATGAAATGAAAATATTTTTTTTCAATAGGGCGAAGGATCTACTGTTCGGTCAATCAATTTGGTCCAGTATTTGGCTTTAACATTGTCAGAATTGCTTATGTTCACCTATTGTGGAGAGTTATTGCGAAATCATAGCGTGCGATCTGGAGATGCATTCTGGCGTTCAGATTGGTGGACACATGGAAAGTATATACGTAAGGAAATAGTCATTTTCTTAATAAATAGTCAACGTTATGTGCGAATTACTGCTGGGAAATTTTATTTAATGGACGTGGAACGTTTACGTTCGGTATGAAATAAAAATGCTACATTTATTTAAAATAAAATTTAATATTTTTAAATTTTATGTAGGTTGTTGCTCAAGCATTTTCATTCCTTACCTTATTGCAAAAACTTGCCGCAAAGAATAATAAATGATCACATTTTGTTAAAAATTGTTAAATATATCTTAATTTAAAATAAAATATGTTATTATTATTATTAGCAGAGCTGATGTTATTTATTAAAATTAATATAGTTCAGCTTACATGCCTAGGTCAAGTACTACGTTTCTCAACTGCTGGTCAGTAGATCTGTAGCTTTAACACCATTGAACTGCGAAACATTTTATTCTCATCGTTTACAATATTGTTTTTTTTGACGAATATTGGTAAAGGTCTTTGCAAAACACACTAAATATTTTTCCGGTCTACAGCACATTTTGGATTGAGAAATACTGGTTTAATACACACATCAGGTTACAGCTTTACTTATAAATCCTTATAGTTACTTATATAGTTTCGCAATGAACTGCCAGGCTTAAGTGAATAAGAATATGGTAGTATTACACGTTACATTTAGATGGCTAAGATGGCGAAATTTGCTTCAGAAGGAGTTCAGGGAATCAGTAGTACTTTACTTATAAATCCTTATAGTAATTTGTATAGTTTCCCAATGAACCACCATGCTTAAGTGAATAATAATATGGTAATATTACACGTTACATTTAAATGGCTAAGATGACGAAATTTGCTCCAGAAGGAGTTCTGGAAATAAGTAGTAGTAGTAGATGGTGTACTTAAAGAAAAAAGACTAATTTTCCAAAAATTACAGTTTTGAGAAAAATGGTATCCCATTGTATAACAATGCACTAGCCCATTCATCTAAAACTTCAATAGCAGAAACAATTGAATCACATTAAAATCACTAAACTAACGAAAATATTGCTTATCTTCTAAAGTACCATGTGTTCCGTTAAATTTGTCAAAATATTTTAGTCTTTTGAAAAAATAAACATTAATTTTACTTGTCCAGTCATGAGCATTTTTCACACTCTGTCATCGTAATTGATCAACCAAAGCCCTTAAAATCATTTACTGACATTTATCTCTACATCTTCGCGTGATTGATTGACAGCTCAATCTATTTTTCAAGCAGAAAGAATACTTACACTTCTTCAGTAATTTATTTATAATAATAGATAGAGAAAATAAAATCCTGCACGTAATTATTAACTTATGTATTTATTTATAGATAAGTTTATTACTTTACATATATAAATTACTACAATACATTGCTTAGGCTAAATTAGATGCATTTGGCTATTTCCCATAATTCTGGTGCTATATATTATTACCATATATTTTTCATACCGTTTTTTTTTTGTATTTTTTATTTTGTATTTTGTTAGTTATTTAAATATATTTTTAGAAAACTATTAACATGTATTTATATATTCTCTATATGACAAGTCTATGTACTAAAGGTCAACGTAAGTATTAATTGATTGTACCACCTTCTAAAATATTTGAAATATTTTGAGTACAGTAGCGAATTTATGCCTTTTGGCGCCTTAAGTATTTTGAATACAGGTGCTTAGCAATATACCCAGGCAATTATGCTTACATGTGTATTATTTATGTGCCACTTTTAGGTACATTCCATTTTGCTTAAATACGTTACTGTATAAATATGTATCGAGCATGATTGTCAAAATACTTTATTTCAGATATTACTGGAAAATGATCTCTTATTTTAGAGGTATCCATACTAAACAGCCAAATTTTAAAATTAAAATAATTTTTTATTCTCAATATCAATATTTACGTTTAAATTGAAGCAATTCTATTGGAGATTGAGTTACAGTTTACAATTGGCCTATTTGGTGGCTCGCAAGTATGGCAAAAAAAGGCAAGTTGCTGGCCTATACTGGCTGAAATGTACGCAAAACACAACACTATATTCTCCACCTCAGCCAGTATAGGTACACATCGGCCAGTAAAAAAAACTATTTAGCCACAGCATAACAATTGACATTTTGCAATAGTGATGCCAATGTCGCTTAGCGAATATAGGCCAGCATGCATTTTTTGGCTTACTTGCGAACCACCGAAAAGGCCTAATATTATCTTAAGATATTTTCCATCAAGTATTTTGACAAAGTCTAAACTCATTTTTTGTTTATGGAAATAACTTACATTAAAATTCCTAACTTTACTAATAACAGCTACTTTTTATATGCTATATATACTATATACTCGTATATGTATACATTTTAATGTTCTACAATGTATACAATATGTATTTAAAAATAGATAACTACAAAACGAATGAGCGTTTAACATTATGCCGTGACACTCATATCATATAATTTTATCAAAATTGTTGATATTATTGGACAGACATAGAATTAGTATAAAATTATTCATATTGTGTATATTTTATTCTACGATTTCCTTTTAGCATAGTGTAGAACTAATGACGGCACAAAAAAGTCTTATTGTCCTAAACTTCCATAAGTTCTCTTTTTATAAGAAAATTTTGTATAAAAAGCAAATGGTTTGAAAATTAGGATAAACAAATAAAATACAATATGCTTTAAAGTGCAGGGAATAGAAAATAAGTATATATACATTAAGACTGAAAAGTTTTCGGAAATTCTCATTTAAAATTCGCGCGCTGTATATTTTTCGATATTTTAAGTTTATGTAGTTTGGCAGCACTGTCCTTAATTACTATGCCAAAAATGAGCGCGATCTGTCAGACATTTCGTTTACGGCAGCTGTTGAAACCAGTTCACCTCAGTAGTGCGTTGCGAAATGTCTTCGACGGTCGTACGACCGTCCTGAAAGGCTTTGTACCACTCATAAACTTGAGTTTTCGATAAAACTGATTCCCCATAAGCCTTTTGTAGCATTCGCAACGATTCTGCACACGAAATTTCGTTCGAAACACAAAATTTGATGCAAACTCTTTGTTCAATATTTTTTTCCATTGTTTTTTTCGCAACGCACTACTGAGGTGAACTGGTTTCAACAGCTGCCGTAAACGAACTGTCTGACAGATCGCGCTCATTTTTGGCATAGTAATTGTCCTTAATTGCTGCCAAACTACATAAACTTAAAATATCGAAAAATATACAGCGCGCGAATTTTAAATGAGAATTTCCGAAAACTTTTCGGTCTTAATGTATATCCTTTATTAACATGAAAACTCCATACAATACTTAGTAGAATTATTTTTGTACAACCTCTATGATAAATATTTTTTTTTAAATTAAAATAATTTAAAATTATTTAAAAAATTTTTATAATTATCAACAAACGATTTTGTGTATTTTTAACAATATATATCTTTACATGACTTTAGTTCTTAGCGAGATTTTATGTTCCAATGCAAATACATATTATCTTTAAATTTTATTGGCAAAAATTAATTGGTATGTATGTATTAATGATTATGTCTGAATACAAAAAATTTGCCAAAGTTTAGTCAGTGTAAACACACCGCTTAAGTTTTAAAATCGAACTTAAATAGATAGATATACATATATTTGTAGCAGCCAGTCTCATGAAAGATGGGATTATTTTGACCCTAAAAATTGGCTTTATTGTGAAATGTTTCAAAGTCAAAAAGCTCACTAAAGAAATTTTTCTTTATAAATAATTTTATTTGCGATCTGAAATCAATATATTGTTTTGATAAAACAGACAACATATTAAATGTATACATTGTGGATGCTGGAAATAGGTATCTATATTCAAGAAAATGGGTACTTATATTAGGTATATGCAAAGTGTTAATAGTCCGATAGATACAGACTAGGTAAATAACATTTACTCTTTCTTCTCTAAATCAAAGTTACAGCAGTAGTCATAAAATGACAGTGTCTTCTATAACAAATGGCCGGCAAACAATGTTTTGTATAGCAAATGGACAACGAGTTCAAACAAAACCAATTTACTGCTTGTCAAACAGCTAGAAATATCTTATCATTAGAGCCTATTTCAAGTTTGCTTCGAATTTTTGATATATACATATATTATGTATATGATTATTTTATACTTAAAAAGTTGTTTTATGACTATTTGAGCTAATAAAGTTGAGGCAAACATTTTGGCATTTGTCAAACATATCAAACAATAATATCAATAATATTTTTGTTATCGGTAGTGGACGTTTCCTAAACACTAGTCAAGGAAAATAAATTATATTTCTTTTGTTTTTAAGAAATGAGACTTCATTACTGTATAGTACATTGTTAAGTTTGAATTTGCAGCGATTCAAAAATGTGTTGGGATAAAAGGTAATTCAAATTCGAATGACTATCCAACAAATAAACAGCATCTGTGCTTGTGGGTATAAAATTCTTTAGAACCCTTTAAGAAAGATAATGTTTACTTCTCTATTAGAAGAAACTCTATATTGGGTTAATTTATGGTGTTTACCATAACTTAGGTTGGGTTGGAGTGCCAATAGACACTTATGAGACTGATAGCAGCCGGACCTGAAGACCAACTTAAAGTTTGAAATCCCAAGCATTTAGCACACGAACGGCATCCGGTTCAAATTGCCATTCAAATTAAAGCGAATCAACCTGAGAAGTCCATGAACTTGGTTATGTCCTTAATTTGAAGAGATTACAGTTTCGTCAGCTAAGTTAAGAAAGTGGCCCCAAAGATTTTGAATTTTTTAGAATTTGAATTTTTTCTAGAGTAGAGCTTTCTCTTCATCCGCACAGCTACAACAACGACAAGTCGTTGCTGGGTAGACTAATTCTGATTGCATACTTCCCTAATACAGACTGACTTGTCAACAGCAATAGTGTTATACTAAATCGGTACTACTTCAGTAGAAGCAACTGAATTTGATCTAATTTGCACCAGGTGAGTCGATATTTTACAAGAATCGTTACCTTACTATACTACAAATTGTTTGAAGGAAGATATAATCCAAATCACTATAAGAAGTTTATAACTTGACAAAAACAATAAATTCTAAATTCTAAAAAATAAATTCAGAATTAATAAAAATTTGTTCTTCAGGTTTTGAAAAGAGAAAGTAGAGATCGAGAAATACGCTATAGGAAAAAATATTATAACCATGCATAAAGGAATACATTCTATTCGACGAAAAACTGACACTCGAACAGGTATTAATATTTATAGAGAAGATTGAACTCTTATATACTTCCCATAATAACTAGAAAAAATTATAAGTTAACTTGTTAGCTTAGAGATCTTAACAATTCAGTATAATTTCATATTATTTTTTTTTTTTGGTTACATATATGCTTTATTTTGAACTATATAGTATGTACCTAGATTCTATATATTTTTTTCCAGCTTGTATAGAGTTTTCAAGTTGCTTAACATATTACGTGTACTTTAACAATCTCTATACAACATGTGTATTACTATATAAAATTCAATGTATATTACCTAAGAATATATTTATTCTTAACTGATTGATATCATAAATATTGTTGTTATCTTAAAAGTCTTTCGTTATTGTTAAAATCTTAGAAGATTTGATTTTACTATTAATGATATGTTAAAATATATGCAAAAGAGCAGAATTAATTAGGAAATTATTTGGGGTCCTATGCCTAGGATGTGGTTTGTCAAAATTTCTAATTTTTTTGAAGCTTGTTTAGAAACCAGCAGATTTATTTTTAATGCAAATTATTTATCATTTAATATAAGAATAATTAAAGTGATATGTAAGATATGTAAGACTCATTCAATCTGTTAAATTAATTTTTAAGTTATCTGAAATATTGTTCACATATATGGGGAAAAACTCATAGTACCTACAATTAAAGAAACACAGAGAACTTGATTAAAGTTTATATAAATTAAAAAATTATTTGATTTGTTCGATATGTCTAAAATAGTGATTATGTACTTCTATTAAAATTTTAGATGAAGATATGGGCTGTATTTTCTATTAAAATAGGCATTTCTCAAACAATCTGACGAGAGATAACTTAATAATATAATTCGGTAGGCCGTAGTCTTAACGTGGTGTACGTTGATTTCTGATCAGTTAAATCTCTGATCAATGATGGATAACAACCAAAAGTCGTCATTATTAAGGCAACACTGCGGGAAACCGCTAGACTAAAGAGGTTGCTGAAATTACTGATAGGTTACTTGAGAGTTTCTCATAATTTTCACCACCATCTCAAAAAGATAGCAGGGGCTGAACTGATCCTGACGGAAATATAGTTTTTATTTACTTTTTGTTACTGGCCGGCTTCGATTTAGGTCAAAAGAAGAATACTGAGCCAGAAGCTTATATCACTATGTGATATTAAAAATTCCTTAATGACAGTTCTTTTGGTCTCCATTCAAAAGACAAAATGTTTTATGTTTGGTTAGGTTTGATTGAGTTGTTAATAAAAAAGATTTACTACGTTTATAGTCTTAGTGCATATCACTAAATAATCACAGAAAGCCAAAAATTAATAGCATAGTAAAATTAAAGGTAATTTTTGTTAACCAATTGTGCTTTTGGAAAGTAAGAGATTAATCTGTTAAAATATATTTGAATAATTATTTCACTAACTGAATACATTTCATTAAAAATTTAATTATAAACTACTTTAGTGGAAACATTCTATTAAATAAAAAGAAAATTCAAAATATATATATAAACTATAATGTTTTCATATGTGTGTTGATATGTGGAATAAAATCATAACTTAAATTTTTAACTAAAGTCAATAAAACTCCTAAGGAGTATTTTTTGTAAAAAATTGATATTCTTACGTGCAACTAATGCTTACTGATATGTCTTTAGATAATGTTTTCTTTAAATTAGATTTTGGTTTAACTCCAACTTCTAAAGACGCTAGCTATCTATTTTGACGCCAATTCGATGAGTTTGAATAGCGGCATAACACAACTTTTTTAAAAGCTTCCCGAAATACTTTATTGAATATCGTGTAAAAAATAGGATTCACCATAGAGCTAGCATAACCTAACCATGTTACGATATCGAATACCCAATGATCGATTTCATCTTCACATTTACCGCAAATGGTCGGCAACAAGTTGAGCACAAAGAACGGTGACCAGAGTATAACAAAAGTGAAAAAGACTACGCCTAGCACTTTTGTAGCTTTCTGCTCCAAACGTATAATACGACCATGACGCGACGAATTTCTAGATATAACGCTAGAGTTTCTTGAGTGGTGGGATTTTATAGTTTGGTTGCGTTGCAGTAGACATGGCGAGGAGTTCGGAGATTTAGATTTAGGTTTTAGACTACTGTTAGAGCTAATATCAAGCAAACTACCAATGTCTGTACTACTATGTGCAGTATTTTGGTAGTTCATGTTATTGTGACTGCGTAGCGTTGCTGACCGTCGTAATGGTGAGGCGGAACAAGATGTTGGCACCAGACTGCTTTTGTTTGGAGTAAGCAGTAGAGATGTACGTACACCACCAAAACTGGAACCACGTCGTCTACTGTGTCGCCCAGAATCCCATGTTACAACAGATGCTGTCTTAGAGATACTTAACTTGCGCTTATTTATACAAGGACTGCTGGGTGCTGCTAAAAGATTTGTGTCATTTCCCTGTACTGTTAGTGTATTGTCCAAGTGATAACCGGATGTTGTGGCAATGTGTGGATTGATATTATTACCTGTATCTAATACTTTTGGCCTATCTGCGCTTTCAGCAGAGTTTAATATTAAATTTATATCATTTGATGAAGTTGTAGTCTTGATTTTGAAGCTCGTTGAAATTATTCTTACTTCCGTGGGCTTGAGATGATTCTTAATAGGTTTGTTACCAAAATAAGGGCATGTACATACCAAGGGTAGTTGTAAATAGTCTTTGTTTTGATTATTAGGGTTGTTTTGCCCTACATGATATTTTTGTTTTGCTCCTTCTACTTCAGTATCCGAGTGACTAGTCTTTGCTGGAAATATGTCCAATTTTTCTTTTAATATTTCTGGATCGCCTTTTGAAAAGTATTTAATATTATTCGGCAAACTATTATATCGATTCCGTTGCTTTACAGGCGATTTATTTGGTGACTCCTTTAATTCAGTTCGTGTAGGTTCAGTAGATGCGCGACGTTTTTGTTTCTGAGATGAAAGAAAGAGCGACACGGATCTAGGAATAGAAAATATTTTATTAAAAACATATGTACTTAATTCTTATGCTTTGCAAATTATATATATAAACTAAGACAATATATATAAAAATCTATAACAAAAAATAATGAATAAAATGGAAAACAGTGAACCCATAGGATATAGTAAATTAAAATAACAAGGTTGACAGAAAAGTGAATATAATTCAAGAGCATAGGTAGTTACTATTTATATCCGAGATGGGGCAATTTGACTACGTCATGTGTTGTACAACTGTAGTGTGGGTATTAGTATTAGTAGATCAGCTTATTCCTTTCGACTCTACTAACTAAAGTTGGATCAGAATTATACTTGCAGTTCTAGGGAGTCATTATTCTTCTTGATAGGATAGACGTAAACCACTTAAGAACAAAACTTTTATGAAATAATATTCTTAAAATGAAACGGAAACAATGTATTAATCGGATGAAACTTGAAATGGTTCTGGTATCGTTATATTTGTGAAATTGATTGATATATTCAAGACTTACAGATATGGACCAACAAATACGATGGGGTGTACATACTGTCTTGTTTTATATTCTAACTTGATTGTAATCAAATGTGGACCAACAAATGCGATAGGGTGGACATACTGTATTATTATATATTCTAACTTGATAGTAAGCTGTATGTTATCAGAGGTTATTAGTTAAAGTCAATCTTTGACTCCAGTTTTCTTCAGGAATTGCTATTTAAGGGAGGGCTGAACTATGCGAATGCATATGTATCATATGTAAAACTAGTCTCTTAATAAAATCTAGTAGTTCTATTATTAATATTAAAGATCAGAATGCATAGCGATTTGAAAAGATCTCTTATGTATATGATAGAATTCATGTTTAGAAACACTGACTTTAAAAGAATTCATTATGAAATTTAACGCAAATTTTTTTTGTATAATTAAAAAATAGACACACTTAAAACCGTTCTATTTATAATAAAAAAATTGAAACATTTAATTTACCTTCTTCGAGTCTTTTCTTTTGTATTTTTCGGTTCGGTGACAGGATTAAGTTTTCTCTGATAAAATTGATGGGATCCAATAGCGCTTGAGTTTTGTTGTGATTGTGTATGATACATATGTTGCTGAGAAGATTGAAATGGCATATAGCGTTGCGAATTTCCGGAATACTGTTGATGTATAGATGTAGATAAATCGGATTTCGTAGGTGAACCAGTTGAAGATGAAGCCACTGATTCCAAACCTCTTGAAAATTTAAGCATTTCAGCGCCAAATTGCTGCAATGCAGTCATCGTTGAAGGTGTTGATTCAGGTATACTGTATTTATTTACAAAAAATTATTGTTTATATCATTTTAAATAAAACAGTATTAAAATAAATACCTAGAATCCGGTAACCACAACTCGTGATTGTCAAGTGTTGATAATTCTGTGTCGGTGGAATTTGCTGATAAAGCATGAGTTACCGATGAACTGGTATTATAACCAGATTTCAGTAAACGTCGCCAAGTGCATCGTCGTTCTATATTTAAATTAAGAACAATATATATATAAATTATTTTATATAATATTTTAACATATATAGCTGACATATATACCTAATGCTGGTGTTTGACCAAACCAACCGCTAGCCCAACCAGAAGCTGCTGCTTGATTATTTCCACCAAGATTTTGACGTTGTTGTGCCAATAGACGTACCGTCAGACAATACGTTAAAAGCATTACTCCCAGTGGTATATAAAAACATATTATTGAACCGACCAATTTGTAAACAGGGTCGGGTATTTGACATGTACCATTAACAAGCACTGAAGCATGATCCTGACAATAAGAAATTTATTTCCATAAAAAATTTATTCAGCTAAGATATTTTCATTCTACCTTAGAATACATCAAACTGAGCGGTAAACTCATCGCTATTGATAATAGCCATACAAACACAATTTTCAATGTTACACGACGACGTGTTTTATTTCGGCCAAATCTCATTGGATATCGCAAGGAAAGATAACGATCCACAGATATAGTGCACAAGTGCATGATGCTTGCGGTGCAAAATAATACATCCAAACAAATCCAAGTAAGGCAATGTTCAGATCCAAGTGGAAAATAGCCTAAAAATAATCAAAATTAAGGAAAATTTCTTTTAAGAAGAATATACTATAGAATAAAATGTACTATACTCTTATAATATATATTAACATTACATAATCCATATTTATATATAAGGATATGAAGATATAGGAAATGAAATATTGTATATGTAATACGTATAGTCTTATTTTTGATCATCTCTAACACACAGAAATACATAACACCTGAAAATTATAATTTAAAAAAAGACATCACTTTGCAAGAAACCCAATAAATCTACTCCGCGACATGTCCCATGTGAGTTTGTTTTGTGTCCTAATTTCAAATTATCACTTTATCAATTATTAATTTCCAGAAGTTAATAAAGTCAAGTGCTTACTCATTTTTAAGATTTTCAATCGGAACAAATTTCATACTTCCATGTCCTTAATATATTCTACGATTATAAAATGTTTTAATCTATAATAGGGTTTTCTCTCCCCATACCAATTTGCTTTTCCATTAATATTCTCATCTAAAATTTATTACCTTTAGACTTCTTGTGTTAAATTACGATAGCTAATTTAGAAAACCTGACTGAAAAGTGATTAATCTTTAACAGTTTTCGCTGGCTCAGTTGCTGTAAAAATGGGACACTGCTTCAAAAATTGCCATACCAACTCGATAGAGGTAACGGCTAATGTCGCATTTGTGAATCACAAAGAGAAAACAATCAGAGAGGGTCAGAATGGAAAAAATGTTGCTGAACTACTCTATTAGTGATTTGTCATTACCATTGGCTTACGTGCTTTCAACTTAACTTCTCTATTGTATCACAACTGGACTACTAGTTTTAAACTTCGTAAGCTATAAAATGGGCTGTCACGGGTATCTATCTTACTTATAAAACTGATAGAAAGAGAAAAAACAAAGTATCGGTTTAAATTTGGTCATGGTAACCAAGTCATGACCAAACGTAGCGCAAAATTGCCGTGACAAAATTGTCTATGTATAACAGGGCCCTTAGAAACGTATGTAAGTACTATTAAAAAATGTTTTGCTATTTTGAACTTTAACTTACGTACGAAGAGGGTTTGCATTTTTGATTGATTTGTATAAAGAAGTTTAAGTATTTTCCAATAATCAATAATTATTTATAAACTTTCATTTCAATATTACACGTATTTATAGAAATAATTGATGTCATTAACTTGGCTAGACCTAGGTATGTAAGTTTATATTTTTGAATTGATTATTTTTAGAAAATTCTATCAAAGATAAATTTAAGAAGCTAACAACAGATTTGGTTAAGTTATTATGTCTAAAAATGTAAGACCTTTTTTCAAAGTCATTATCAAGCCAGAAATGCATTTGCATTAAACGACGTTTCAATAATACTTAAAAAGCTTGTTGAGTTTATTGGACTGCATACGATTAAAACGAATTAAGTGGCGCAATGCTGTATATCATAAAGTTAGGGTCCCTTATGATACACTTAAGATAAGTTTGGAAGAATGATAAAAAAATAAATATGATTATATTCATATATATTGACATCATTTAATAATGATAATAGAAAAGTTAAATCGCTTAGTACTTCTATTATCCTCTTTTTCCACTGAAGCATCTTCCACTGAAGCAAGTAAAATTGCTTATTGCGGTATATATTAATAGATATAACGAAGCACGTATACTAAATTTCAAAGACAAATCGTATTAAGCTACGTCAATAATACCAGGAAAAAGTGAGTCTACTTGTGGCTTTGTTAAAACAATGGAAGAATTTTATGTGTGTATTAAACCCTTTTTTTAGCAAAAATACAATGTAAACGCAGCAATGATTTTTAAAGTCGAATTCAACTTTTCGTTGTTTAAACGTGGCTTTATAGATACTGATTTTGAAAACATTATAAAAAACTGTAACTATATAATGCAGGATATATTTGACGTTTTAGAGATATTTTTCTCACCTCACATTTTAAAGACATTTTCAGAATGGAATGTAAACCCTGTACGACCAGTAGTTTTGACAGCAGGTAACGTCATATTCAAAATGGGTGCTATAATTTGGTAATAATGAATCGAAAAAACAATAATGTATTGAGGTTGATGAGCGCTGTTTGAAGCTATTTTTTAATAATAGATGGTATTCCTTGCGTCAAAATTTAATAATAAAATGAAAAGGATAGTCAGCAGAGTCAGTGAGGATGCCGATGAAATTAATCTAAAGTGATCATAAACACAAATTGCGTCCATTGAATTTATAGCTCTTGCTTTTAGGATGCGCACAGCACTTTTAATACGACTATTTACCTTTACAAAAAAAAATGTACCTTTACAAAAAAAAAAAATTATGAAAAGAGAATACAAAACACTAAAAAACGATTCCATGTAGTATGAAAGGAAGCGTTTTGCTAATACAATGCACCATGACAGGAGTTATTTGTTATAATAGCCATTATGCATGAGTTATACTTTATTTCTAGCAACTACTACTTGATCTAAAAAATATGCTCTAAAAAAAGAGATTGTACTCTACTTAAGTAAGCTTTGGAACTAAAGGTGATCCTTTTTAAATAAATGCACAAAAGTATCAGAAAAGAATGGGAAACATTCTATTAAAATAATTTTTTAATAGATACAAGGGTCACTATTTATATTTTAAGCCTTAGTAACACTGACTGCTGTCCGGTGTCATCTGACGATTCCACACACACACATACGAAAGTTTGATATTATTAAACGTAACCTACCTTATACCATGTTTTCGAGGTGCCTGAAGAAGATTGGAAAAAATGCTTTGAGAAATGGTTCGAATGCATTGAAAAGTATATAAAAGAAAATACTTCAAGTGACCCTCATATTCTAGGAATGTACTGAGTAATCCTTTTACTAAAGAAATAATTATTTTTAATATGTTGATGAATCCTAGGGTAATGACTTAGCAGTGAATCCCTAAAATTGTTGCGTAGATTAATCGATATATTTAAAAGTATTATGACCATGAATTTGATTTTTAACTGACTTGTACTTTTTTACATTTGCATATACAAATATGCCTTTACGCTGTACTCATTAGGACATTGAAGTACTTAATTTGTTTGTCAGGGTTAAGTGCATTGCCAATGGGTGTAAACCAACGAGCCATTATTGCTTTATAGACGGAAATGCATGAATATTTCACATAAAACAGTTTCATTAAGCAAAGAGGAGGGTTTCGGGCTGATTTGCACGTTTGAAATAATAACGCATATTAAAGAGCGCACTTGGGATTAAGTAAATTAATATAACAGAAATTTCAAATCAAAAGAAACAGCACTTAATAAATATAATTTAATTTCTAATCTATTTATTTGATATTGTCCAAGAGAATAGTACATTTTTACATAAATAATGCTTTCAAGTTCTCATATATATTGATCTTAATTGGCAAAATAATTGATAAAATGTTATATAGTAACAAAATATGTATATATATGGTATATGCATTAAATTAATTAAATTGCTACTCACCTTTGACTAATGTTAATATACCCAAAGGCATTACTAATATCGCTACCATTAGATCGGTTATTGCCAGTGACATTAAAAAATAGTTGGTTACATTTTGTAAACGTCGCTCCCAGGCTATGGCTAAACAAACAAGTATATTTCCAGCGGCGGTACCGAACACCAAAACCAAAGCGAGTAATGCCCAATAATTGTTTATATTCGTTTCAACTTCAGTTTGTGGCGGTATAGCTATAAGCACATAATTTGTATGTGTAGAGTCATTACGTATGGTGTTATTGTCAAGAGTTTTTTGGTTCCAGTCTGTTAAATCACTCCAGTCATCCGTTATACTCTCAAAACTTGAACTCCAAATTTCTGTGTCATTGAAATTGTCATATGCCACATTGTCCATGTTACTCGCAGATGTGGCAATGTTCTTAAGGTACGAACTCAAAGAAATTTTGTAGAATTTGTTTCATTTTTTTAAGTAAATTGACTTATACGGATGGAAAGACATTAATTTATTTATTTGTTTTTATTTTTTAAATAATTATGCACACTTCAATTCCATTGCGGATATTATTCGCACTTATTGCAGCAGAAGTGTTCACAGCGGAAATAATTTTCCACTCAAAATCTTAAGAATAATTCACTCGCAATCATTTATATTCAATTTCGCCTACAAAATCCTGTGGAATATGAATTTCCCTTTGACCTTATAAACATTTTTATAGATATTTAAATTTATTTTACCATTCGTAATTCTGGATTATATTTTCAATTAATTTCAATTGTTTGTTCTTTGTAATCTGAAATGAAGTTTAAAAGGAATATTTAATTATTTTAATTCAGTTTATTAATATAATGCATTTATATTTTCAAAATAAATAAAGAAAATAAATTTATTATTCTATTATTTATGTATATTATTATTGGTTTTTTATTTTATATAGTAATTTTCTATATAAATGTCGTCGACGCTACAAGGTTTATATACAAAATACTATATAAGAGAACAATCTCATAAATAACAATAATTACTCTGATTAAAAATTGCTGAATTATTGTACAAATATTAATTATTGAAATAATAGAAGAGTTTTTTAAAAAACAAAGGCTTTTCAAGACTTTTAGATAAGAATTTTTAATAACCTAATTGGGTTGATAAAAATTGTAAATACTTGACAAAATATTAATTAAATATATCAACAGTGAAAAAAACAAAAGAAAATTACATTTAATGTGGTCATATTTATCTATATAAGATTCAATATATAATCTCAAAAAGTCCATTGATAACTGAATGGCAACGAATTCAATATCAAAGACAAAACAAGTGCGAATCTAAGCTCCGGTTAGTGTCACTTAAAAAAAAGTGACAAAAAACTTGGAACTTAAATATTGTGCAGCCTTAGTTACTTGTGGATAAACACAATTCGTCATTACTTCTACTTCGACAGGCACGAATACTAAGCCTGGCACTTGCAGTCCAAACAAATTATATACGGATTATAAACTAATTATAAAATTCAAATATTTTTTAAAACCAGCGTTGTAACTAAAACTTACCAGCGTTAACTAAAATTTTTGTTGTTGTTTTTTATTTCTATTTGAACCTTACTAACTTTTAAAAAACTTCTTTTTGTCATAAGAAGCTGCACTTTCGACAGAAAAAATTAACATCAAAAGTATGAATCTTGTTTGGCCAGCAATCGACAAAAAGCTTAGTAAAGCCGTAGAATTGAACTGTCTGAGGAGAGTTTTAAATTTTATAATATTTTAAACTACTGATGGCTCATTGTGTGCAGAGTGTAAGGACCTAGTTCATATAAGAAGTACTTAATACATATGTCGGGTCATATATATACATACATATATAAACAGAAATAATTTACGTGTTCTGTGGTTATTAAAGTTTTGCTGTGTCTCTTGTGTCTTGTCAATGAACCACTAGTAGATTTAGATTGTATACATAATTTAATAAAGTAAATGGTATATATTTCGTATGAGTTACTATAATCACAAGTATTCGGTTCACTATTTATTGTAAGTATAACATATTATATAATATGTTACATAAATATAAATTTATGTATTGACCAGTTTTTATTATTATTTGTTTGTTTTTTAATTAGGATTAAATATAATTTTAAATGTTGAGAAAATCAACTAATTTTCTATTTTTGTATATAACATGGTCTTAAATTCTGTTAGTTCCAGCTGCCTGTAAGCCACCCTCTGACCTTTTGGTTCCTAGCTATCCTTAGCTATTAAATATCTGTATTAACTACAGATCAATTGATGATTGGTCATTTAATTTAAACACAATTTTTAAAACTTAAATATTTTTATGATTTTAAGGAGTGCTGAGGGCTTTTCTTCAGATATAGTGCCATTAGCATTTTTGAAAAATATTTTTAAACTAGTCCTTGGTGCGATAAGTGCACAGATGCTTTATTTATTATTTATTATTAAAATATAATAGTAATAGTAAGTTTTGTGGGTATTTTATTAGTTAACACACAAAGAGAGAGAGAGACGGAGAGAGAGAGTGAGAGAGAGAGAGAGAGAGAGAGAGAGAGAGAGAGGGGGGGGGGATCCATAATTAATAAACTTTTCATTCAGTTGATGTACTCTACAAAATTGAATTTATTTTTGTAACCCGTATGGAGCTTAGCTGTGTGCAAATGATTGAAAACGGTATCGTTAACAATCTTTAGTATATTATTGATGGCCTGTCGATATTTTTGACTTTTTTCCATAGTTTCTAATCATCTTCTTCGGCAGACTAAAGCGAAAAAATTTAGAACGAAGAACTTAACCTTCAGTAAATAAGTAAAGTCATACTTCTTTTAAATATTGATCATTAAAAACCTTCTTCACAGTTCCAGTACGGCCAACTAAAATAAAGAATATTCAGAACGAAAAACTTATTCTTGTAATCAGCTTTATGCAAATAGTTTGAAATCATACTGTAGGCAATCTATATATATCTGTCTTTTCGAACTTTTTCCACAGTTTCTGTCTTTTTCGTTTATCGACTGACTAAAGTGAGAAGTCAGTCGATTAAAGACTGATTCCGGTGATAGACTGACTAAAGTGAGAAGATTGCCGAAATAAAAACGTGTGTTTGTAAACTTGTATTACTGCAAATGGTTCAAAACAATGATGCGAATAATTTTCAGTATATAATTGAATGCATACTTCATTCAAATATCGATATCTTTGAACCTTCCCCACAGTTCCCACTCGTTTTTTCTTGTTGGGTTGACTAAAGTGAAAAAGTTACTGGAGGAAATCTGTTTTTTTTTAACCAACTTAACACAACTTAAGTCTTATTTTACTCAAATATCGTTTGTTTTTGAACGTTTTTTATGGCTTTCTACTGTTTTTCTTTGATCTACCGACTAAAGTGAAGAAGATGCAGAAGAAGGTTCCTTAAAGAGCACGATAGAAAATATTATCTTATTGCGATGCAATTTTCGGAAATTTCTTTTTTGATAAATTATCTTTACCGTAAACAGCATAAATCTTTTCGAATGCCACATTGCTTCTTTTAGAATATAAACACGAGATGCCAATCTCAATAAAATTCTCAAAAATAATCGATTAATCTAGATTATGAAACTAAAAACTAAACTAAAAACTTAAAATGAGAAGGAAACTGGTAAATTCAAGTAACCATATTAAAGTTATTGTATTTTAAAATAAAAGGAACAGAAAAAAATTTCCCATACTTTTTGCTCAACCCAATAATTTTACAACAAGCAACCATACACCGATGATTACAAATCATACTTCATAAATTATGATATTGAAGTAACACAGCCCAAAGTGTTTTTACGAGGGTGATACTCATGCTCTTTATTGAAATTTACTATAATCAGAGTTTGGAACAAGTGTACATCATATCTGTTAACATACTATCCAATATAGAAATATACGTATATTTATCATAAATTTTATAGCTATCGTGTTATTAAGTCGTAACGAATTTACGTCAAAATTATTGCTCCCTACCTCCATCTCCATCTCCATCCCTATCTCTGCCTCCATCTACGCTTTAACTTTCACTATCTGCTTGATATCTGCTATCTTTTTCACCACAATTTGTGAACCACTTATAACACTTAAAGCGAGCGGAAAGCACCTGTTTTGTAGAAATTACAACTTCGGTAACAAATCAATTAATCTCGAAATTTATTCTTTCAATAATTTATTGCATGTCAATTGCTACCGTAAACGCACTTTATTAACTTTTTTACGATTTAATGATACTGTTGGGATTAATATGACTAATGACTTTTGGGATATGACGAACTTCATGCGAATTTCGTATTGCTAATGACAAATAGGCAGCATTGTGGCAGGCATTGTGGCAGATACTCGTATTGAAAAGGACCTTTACATGTCACGTCGCAGCACTTTCATTCAAAACATATATACATGCGTCCTCATATGCGATATACAATATGCGATATGCGTCCTCATATACACGTGTATATGAAATGAATTTATACGTGTGGGATATTTATATTATTTGGTGCTTAGAATAGTGAAATAAATTTTATTAAGGGTGTTATTTTACAGCTTGTATACAAATATTTATAAAGCAGTTAAATGTGAGTGAATACAAATAAATGTATTGTACATGAATCACTGTCCGCATTTAGAGATTGCTCCATGAATTCGTTAGGTTCGCACGCACATAGTCACTCACTTCTCAGACTGAATAAATTTAAAGATAACACTTAAATTTTATATAAAAAATGACACAACATTAAGGAACAAACTCACTCATTCATTCATAAATTAAGCTGGTTAACATTTGGGTGTTACCGAAATATTAAGTTGAATTATTTTCAGGTACTTGTCGTAATGCCACTTTGAAGTTTCGTGCGGTGTCATATTTTATATAAAAAATGTTGTCTCCCAAAAACACAACACTACACAACACAACCTAACACAACAGAAAAAAACATGCGATTATTGCGCTGGTTTGGTGTTGTGTTCGAACTGAGTTCCCCGGAAAATGAGCTTAACTTGATAACACTTCAGTGCAATAATGTGATATGAATTCCTGCGTGGGATAACTTGTCCAAAGTACACCAGTCAAATCAATTGATTATGCGGAAAATTTTATTAAAGCTTTGCGAAAAAAAAAATTTCAATATTTTTTATTTCAGTAAATATTCTTCAGTTTAGTAACTAGGAAAGTTGTTAAAGTTATTTATAAAAATATTTTCTTTAGCACAAGTCTGTGTGGTTACATGGAGCCTAGCAGAAATTAGTCATATTGACGCCTACTCGTAGAAAGTAGGCAACTGTTAGAGAGCAGTTCACAAGAAAACTGCTACGAGTAAGCCGGCAAAGCGTGTCGTCCTTAATCTTAAATGGAACAAAATGAAAAAGTATATAAAACCACAGATTTTAATCACATTTTTTGCAGAAGGAGAACACTTTGATGAAAGATTTCTAACATTTTTCTGAATTATTGAAGAAAATTCATCTGA